TAATTGCTTAAATTATAAAGTTTGGGACAATGGATATTGTTTTCTTATATTTCAACAGCTGTCAATTGGGTCTTCAGACAAATAAAGAGGGCAAAAAGATACAGATGATCAAAGGAGTCCTAATAATTAAACTTAAATATTCAACACTTACCGGGCAGTCTCATTGAATTCATTAAGCCAGATTCCACAAGAATGGACTACAGCATAAATACTGAAACAGGTATACAGACAAGGGAAGCAAGAACAGGAAGAAAGAAGGAGAATCATCGTCACAAATGACAAGTGCCTCTTTCGAATCGGTCTTGAAATCCGACTCTGTCTAGGTAATCTGAGTGCAGACGTAATATTGGACTCTGAGCCTTGAGATAATTTTTTTATTGTGGAATCCTCATACTAAAATGCCTCCTCTATTTTTAATGATACATTGTTATAATATGGATTTTGAATCACACTCTTTCATTAGCATCTGCCTAGACAGTGAGATACTCTTGGTTAGGAACCATTTTGTTTGCAAAGATTCTCTCTCTTTGGCCTGTTAAGGTTGATTGTTGTGTTATTTATTGTTAATAAATGTTTTTGCCCAGTCTAAGTTGGGCCTGGTTATTACACTGTAATCAAGCTGAAATGCTGTAATGGAGTATAAAAGAACATACTGCACATGCTGTGTAACCCTCAGAAATCCCTAGCTTTATGGGGTGAAATCATTATTGTTTTCAACTTAATTGTATAGCAAGCTGGTATAAAATCCTGATTATTATTTGAATTTAATTTTGATTAAATTACCTATTTATATTTTCATTTTAACACACATCCAAGACTGAACCAATGTAATTCAAGAGACTGTAGGAAAATATTTGACTGACCAATGTGCAGACATCAATAATATGTTGTGTTTTTTCCTGTCTAAAGAAAAGGCAAATGTAATGTTTTGCTGCAGTGCTACAGTAAGTGGTCTTTCTTTCAGTATTCTGGAATCACATTTTCCAATGCTGCAGTCTTTTGGGAAGAAAGAATAAACAACATAATATTTTAAGGGATTCACAGTCTATTGCATTGCATATCCACATATTTTAGATGTTCATGTGTGATCAATCTGATACTTCAAATACAGTGACAGAACATAGAACATAGTCAGAAAAAGTTGTTTGAATACTAACATATTATCATGTTGGGTTTTGTTCCCAACAATGTAGACTGCAAAGCACTTGAAAAGTGAGATTAAATGTTTTTCAGCAGGTTTGATGCCATTTACACTATGTAAAGGATGATCAACTTAACAGAAACCAAAAATTGAAAACCTTTCACACCTTGCAAAAAGAGTAAAAAGAGAAACAAAATCTACATCTATGTATAGTTCAGACTCTGTTAAACTTGGCAATAACATATTCATAAAGTGGTTTGAATTTCTCAGAGGACACATTTCAGTTGTGCAGGCAAACATTTGCAGTCAGGTTCTCTGTAACATCTTGAGGCTTGCATTCATAAGATTTTGTATCTTAAACTTGATGCCATGCAATAATTAAGCAACGATTATACACCACAAACAACTATCATTAAGCTTATATTAAGTGTGTTTAACTAAAATACTGCTGGCAGCAGTAGCCTAGAACACAAATTTAAAACAGAAGGCTATGGTCAGCTCAATGAACAAACTTTGCTATAATCATAGATCTCCATCATTCCACTAGACAGCTGTACAAAATGAAAACAAAATAATGTATCTATGAGATGGATGATTAGTAGATGAGGTTCAGAAAACAGCTTATAATTTCATACTTATACTGCTACTCCCATAACCATAGATACAGATCAGTGTATTCAATTAGACACAAGATTCAATGTCATGAAACACAAAATATTTCAAGTAGGCTACATGTGATTTATATAGTCCTTTAAGATGACAATACCATACAGCAAAGAAACACAAAGCATTTTAGAACAAAAACACAAACCATGCTGTACTAAGAATCACTCAAATGAATTTGATTCTTATGTCCTCTTATTTATGGATAATTGTAACTTATTCATCCTACGGGAATAATAAAGTATTATCTATCTATCTAACTGATTCTCAGATGTTAAGTATGATTATGCAAATTGGTTTTCTAGAGCATCATGTGAAAGCTGAAATATTCAATTTTAGAGAAAGTACAGAGACAAACATGTTTGTGCTATACTGTATGAAACCTGTCAAGCTAGCATTGATGCGCCAACCGCTGCTTAGTGACAGCTCGCGAGGTGATGTAGCTAGTTGCCATGTCGATGCTAGATCGCTTTGTAGAAGCATGGAAGCAGGTCACAGCCAGAGGCCCAGGTGGATGGGATTCCTGGCCCCAAGTGAAGCAACTTCGTCTGGACAGTAAGAGGGACCATCACTGTCAGGCAGGGCGTCTGAGAAAAGCTGGCTTGTTACGCATTCACTGTCCCCTCCACCACTGACAGAGGGCAGAACTTTGAGCTCTGGATCCAGCACAGAAATGTCAAGAGGCGTAGCTCTTGGGAAGGCATTGGGAAGTCATGAAGCTTGGGAATCACTGCGGGCTGGACAGTGGAAAGATTCTTTGGAAAAGCTGCCTTCAGTGGGTGGGCAGATGAGTGCTTTCTGGGAGGTAGAAGTTTCCAAAAGTGGTTGAAGCTGTGGCTGACCCTGAACTTTTACCTTGCTGGAAGAATCTGTGCTTTTCATTCTATCAGCAGGTTGGTGATCTGAGGTGTGCCCTGCTATAAAGGTGTGGTGCTTTTAAGGAGGACTGGTATTGAAGCACAGAGAAGTCCAGGGTCCTTGGCAAAGTGGGAGTTAAGACTCTTCATCCAAGGGAAATCCAGGTCCAGGATGAGGGGCTGACTGCAGGTGCAGGAGCAGGAGAGGCAGCACAAAATTTAGCCACTGTCTGCTGAATTAGTATGTGTAATAGTGAACTTGTTCAATCTTTCAAACTAGTCTGCTTATCTCCTAGGGCTGCCAGGAAGGGTTATGGAGTGTTTCGCCCTCGTGCTTGGCTCTGTCATACTGTAATAATCTACCACTGTGGTGGAACCAGCAGCGGATCTGTGAGGAATATTGTGAACCCGCATGCCGAGCGAGAGGCAGATGAGACAGAAAAGGTGTGCAGTGCTGCGCTCCCACAGAGAAGCTGCACAGGCAGTGCACACCCATGGGAAACAGCAGCTGTGGCTGACTAGGAAATCAGGAAGTAAACACAGTCCTAATTTATGGTCGAGCAGGCAGGGGTCAGATCCTGAAAACACTGGTGAAAAATGGTTCGCAGTAAGGAAGATTTTTCCTCAAATGCTCTAATAACTCTAGGAATGACTCCAGAAAAAGCTCACTTGGCTTTTAACAGCATCATTCTGTCAAAAGCAAGTGCTTTAACACAAGCAGTAGACATAGAAGCTATTCTCCTAACAGCCTCGTGCTGTAGGCACCACCGATGTCACAACTCAGCAGATTTGATTTGTAGGGTGTCAAAAAGTGGCTGTCTCTAAGTGCATGAAATTTTAATGATTTTCAATTATTTTGTGTGAATGCCCTACCTAGTATTGTTTCTATTTAAAAATACGTTCAAATTATTTAAAATTAAACAAAACAAAAAAAAAAAAATCAGACATCAACTAAAAAGTCCAAATCAGCAGCTTGACAGGCAGACCTGCGGTGTTCAAGCACTATTATATCATTTTGCTCCATGAACTAAAAGGTGCCTGAAATGGAGACCAGCTTGACATCAGTGTTTCTTATTGCTGTACCTTCATATAAATTGCACATGGAACATCAGTGGAGACTGAAAAGAATCCCTTTTGTTATAATCACTACCATCTCTGCAGTTACAGAAGAACTTTCAGAATGTGGACTGAAATTGCCCGTGCCTTTTCAATCAACAATTTCCAATCTGTATGGATACATTTTATCCCACAGTCATACCTCATGCCAAGATAAAAAAAAAAACCAAAAAAACGTGTTTGACAAGTAGAAGAATACTTGGGCTTTTTACAGGTAATCAAATTGTGGAGAATCTGACACGAGAAAGCCAACCTCAATAAACCAGAAGGCCACTCTAATGACACACACAAATGTATGTGAGAGAGAAGGTTAAGTAGCAGCACTTACAGAAGGATGATATAATCACACATGAGGTTTGGATGTTCGGAAGATGTGGCCGAACCATGTTAAATATGTTGGTTAAACGCAATAGGATTCAGTTCTCCAAAATGTTACAAGCAACTCACTTGTAACATGTATGAGAGGAATGTCATGCAATTAACTATTAACTGCTGTGGACTAAAACTTAACGCAGCTTTAACCATGATGTCGCTTTCTGAATCTATGTTCAAGCCCATGACTCTTGGGAAGCCCTTGGCTTCCATGCACGTCTTCAAACCATGAATGATGTAGTTCACAGAATTAATTTGCATACTGTCATTTGTTTCTGGCTGACTACTTCCCCCCGAACTGTACAAAAGCAGAGCACAGCATGACCCCCCCCCAAAATAACATTTTAGATTTACTTGTTTCCAGGACGTTCATTGACTATGATAACCGGGTAAGTGCCTTGGTATACCTGCTGTTTTTTGTTCTGCAGGTATATAAAAAGGATCATAGTCAACATCTGTTTACTATTCATTATTCAGAGCTTTGCCCTTTAGTGAGCAGGAAAAACAAAACATTGAAATTTTGCTTTTCAAAAATTAGTAAAAGGAGCAAATGTGACACCTAGCGGTACAGCTGAACTAAGGATGAGCGTGAGCTAAGGAAGCAGTAAAAACACGGATACTTCAAGGCAGGTTATCACCTTCGAGGACTACGGCCAAACGTAAAAGCATCTGCGGGGGATGTAAGCACTTATTTAGTTTTTCTCGTCAATTTTCAGGGAAAGCCACGCTTTTCAAGAGCACGGTGTAACGTCACTCTCGTAACACAATGAGACTCGACGTCCTCGCATTTAGAGCAATCGCAATGAATCTGATGTGAGTGTTTGATTTTCATTATAAGGCAAATATCTGACCTCTGAAAAGCCTTGCATCCTGCAGGAATGCGTCGTCCTCCGCTGGATCTTAACGGCAGGACCTGACTTTATTCGGTTATGATCATACAGAATACGAGACGAAGTTATTTACATACGTGTACGTGGATACCTCAGGGATTCGTCCCCAATTAATACACTGCCGCTGCAGATCTGTAGATCTGTTAACAACTGTTGTGAAACAATGCTGAATGTCCCTTCAGAACAAAATCTGTTTACGACGACAGTAGGAAGCTCTTTACCACTTCATTATGAATGCTGTGTATCCAAGTGCTGTAGAAGTAAACATTACAGTCGCTAGTGCCTTGTTTATGAGGCACGACTACTGCGTCTACTGACATGCAACTATTTTTATAACTATTGTACCCTCGTTATATATCATGTAACCACCAACAGTGTGCACAAAGAGGCACTATAGCTATAAAGAGACGCAACGTCACAAACTGTTCTTTAAGAGTAAGAATAGGCTAAATTATAAACCTTGTGATCACTACACACTGCAAAACTACAAAACAGAGTGATGCAGGAGCTGGAGCTACAAATAAATGCTTCGGAACAAAACTGAGAAGATATCATAGTCAACATCAGAAACATTACCAAATTACGAGCCATTTTTATGTGTCTCAATAAACATACTTTGATAAGCTATAGACGTCTTGGCTAACAAAAAAAAGAGCTTCCCGAATTTAGCTATGATATAGGTATCCCAGTTTATTCCCTTATGTGCTTTTTGAAAGTCGTTTTCTTAAGTGATTTAAAAATACAGGAAAGTGAAGAAAACAAGAGATCAAAACCTCCTTTTCCAGTATAACTTACAATTACAATTCGACCTTAAACGTTAACAAACATAAATATATATAATGGGTTAAATGAAATATAAAATCCATGCAACAGATAAAAAAACAAAACAAAATATTGCTCACCATCCTGAAGGGTCTGTGCTCGCTCGTTTAGTCAGTCAACCCGCGGCATCTGTCCGGGTTCATCACCATAGCAACAATGTAACGAAGCGTACGGAAACACACGCGCGCTGGCGAAAAAAAATAGCAACAAAAGCTAAAAGTAAAGTATATATATATAGCTTTTATTTTCATAAATGAAAACATTTGATTGTATGATTTATAGTATCTAACTAACAAATTGCGAGGTGACGCTTGTCAAGGGAGGAAGTATTTCTATGACCTTAAAGGTTATTATGAACAAGGCGGTGTGTGTTGTTGTGACGCGTTTGTCGTCATCTTTGTTTTCTTTTCTTAATACGTAACTGTGAGTCTTCAATGTATGTAATCTTCATGTATTATATAATATATTTTATTAATTACAGTATTTTACACTTTAAATGAAACCTTATATCTCACTGTCTTAAAGGAGAGCTGTCAGAATTAAATCCTTACATTTAATAAAACGATCATGCAAAGATCTTGTTCCGTCTGTGTATGTTTAGCCTGCCCTTTTGAACTCTTGGCCGGCTTTAATAAAATCAGCCGAAAGGTATATAGGTTCCATTTTTTGCAGTATTCTCGCTTAAAAACCGACCAGATGGCAGCCTTAGTATATAATGTTTCTGTTCATGTAAATACAGTCCTTAGTATGTCATTGTTATGTTAATTTAAATACAGTACAATAGATGTAGAAGTGTGTTTTTGGACAGCTCTGTTTTGTTTTCTCTTTTTATATTGTTCGAGTATAGTAGAGTTGCTGTGGAAATAAAAAGGCATGTGTTTTCCTTGCAGAGACAGTTACAATACGACCGAGGACAGAGTCAGAGGAACTGGGGGAAAGGTACGTCGTTATGGGAGCCGCAAGCATTAGTTCACATGCTTTAAGTTCAAGTTTTCTTAAAGCTTAAGATGTAAAATCAAAATGTGACCTGAAGTTTCTCAATACGCAATACACTTGTACAACTGTACTGTTTTCTCAAATCACAATACAGTTAGGCTTTCATGCGATTCTGCCTATTTGCAGGTTAAAGAGCAGTTCCACAGATTCTTAAAGAACTGCAACGCTATTTTGATATTTCGGTTTTTTGAAAGAACGAGCGCCAATAATTCAAATGTACACAGTAAGTTGTAAAACCTTCAATTTACATCACAAAAGGTACGAACTTTCCAGGTAAGCACAGCGCCATATTCTGCGATTCAAGACTAAGCAACAAAAAACATACGGTGAGGGAAAGCGGCTCCACTACATTGTGAACAAGTAGGCTTGTGAATCCAATAGAAATATTGCTCGTGACTTGGAAACGGTTTTGCGGATAAATGGGACTTCTTAACTCTGCATGCAGATCACAGTTGTAATATTGCTGTGGTGAAATCTCTGCTCCACAACCTGTACTTATTTTCTCGTACATCGCATTACGTGAGTCAATACAGTGACTAGCGAGCATGAAGGGCTGCTACATGACACAATTTGTGGGAACTCTCTCGACCATGGTGAGACCTGGGGTTTGTGACAACCTGGTGACTTAGTCATTTCACAAGGTTCGTTATTTTGTGCTTAATTCCAAATTTGTAACATTTTTTCTATACTTTTTTTATATATTATTTTGTAATAACCAGTCTGCAGAATACACATAACAGGCCAGATTAATGCATTTCACACATAATATTGTGTGAATATTAAAGTGGTTGTTAGATTTATACACATCATGACATTTTTACAAGGTAAAATATCTCTGAAAGCATTACTTGTTTATTTTACCAGATACAACTGCATCTCTCCTCTGTAAAAAGTTTTTTTAACCCTGTTCTACGTGTCTAGGTGGTGCTAAAACACTGAACTATTCCAGATAATATGACTAATTGTACATTTGAGTCATAATCTGTTTCACCAGAACTCTTGATTGATACATGGTCAGAATCGGGTGCTACAAGGCTTTCTGTCATTTCATGTCATTAATTTTAGGTTATATTTAGAAACCCTGAAGTTGAATACCTGCATGTTGTTATGTGACATTTTATAGCGAAATATTTATATTCAGTAACCATCTTTGAGACATAGATCTGCTAAAGCTGTTTTAAAAATGTTTTTTTCAGAAAGAAAAATGAACATGGATGGCAAAATAGTCATTCTGGATGGTGGATTGGCAACAGAGCTGGAAGCAGCTGGTGTAAAGATACAGGTACATTAATGATTTATACAGTAAACCTGGACTAGGTAACTTTGGTTTATTGCTTCTGTATATTTTACATGTTTTACACCTCAAGCAATTTGTTCTTATGTACTGTATCAATTTATTATACTCATACAGTTAGAAATATATCCATTTTTTTTCATGATGTTTGAGAGCCCACAGTCATTTGTAATATATGTAAAATAAGATGAAAGGCAGTAATGCACAGTAATTCTAGACAAATACTATAATGTTTCACTTTTCCAGGGGGATCCACTGTGGAGTGCTAGGATTCTGCACACTAACCCCCAGGCTGTGAAAGATGCCCATTACAGGTAAAACCTAGCCCAGAGTTTTCACTTCATACACACACTGTATTTTATTATTTTAAGTTTTACATAAAATGTGCAAATACATCAAAAATAGTGGTAAAGGTGTGATGTTTATTGTTTCTGTATATTCATAAGAACAAGTTTTTTTCTGGATATAGTACTCTTTCATTTAAAGCATACCATGTGATATACATTGAATGAACATATACAGTGGGTAGATCAAGGGTACTACAGGCAAACCCTGGTCTTGGAGAGCCACTATCCAGCAGCTCTTAAAGGTCACCCTTAAATCATTAATTTGCAAAAACATGGGACACGAGAGATGTGAACAGTTTGATCAATTAAGCAACGGAATTTGTTCAATTAAGACACGAGTGGCCAACTGTTATACTGGAGAGCTACAGGTGTTTTCTTTTCTGATGATCTTGAAACTATCTGATTCAGTGATAAAATACTATCAAGTGTCAAGAAACTGATGATTTAAGGATGACCCATAAAACATACTTGTTTATTTCCCTCCAGGATGTGGGTTGGCTACCACTGACATACTGTAGGTAGTGCTGACAAAAAGCAGTAATACTTTTATTGTTCTGTAGATTTCTTTGTAGTGGTTCTGATGTTGTCACAACAGCTACATATCAGGCAAGCGTGGAAGGATTTATCAAGCACTTGGGTCTGACTTCAGAAGAAGCAATTCAGCTACTGATGTCAGGTGTTCAGATAGCTAGAGAGACAGTGCAGGAGTTCAAGGTGAACTGTCTTCAGCCAGGTAAATGCAGCTTCTTTTTGTAAGAAATGACATCTATATTTTCCATAGTTCAACATATATCCTATGTCTGGAATATAATCCTTGTGATGTATTGATTAAGCTACTGGTTTAAGAAAACACGGTTTCTGATCCTCTGAAGAAAAGGTGCTACTAGTTGCTGGCTCTGTTGGACCCTATGGAGCATTTCTGTCAGATGGCTCTGAGTACACGGGATCTTACGAGGAGGGAATGAGTATAGAGGTAATACAAGCTAATTCTTGTTTTTAATGTATTTGTTTGTCTACTGAAACACTCTGTTGAAAGAGTAATGTGCATTTTATTTTAATGAAATAAGTAATAATAAGTAAATAAGTATAAGAGTAATGTGCACCAGATTTAATCACACTGCAAGTTAGCCATGGCTCAGAGAAAGAGGAAGAGAAAGAGGTTTCTCTGGGAAGGTTCTTGGCAGGCGTGTTGCAGTGTGAACTCTGTAGGACATTTGTGGTCCATCCACTGTCATTATCCTAGGTGAAAATGTGATTTATTTGAATCTTTTTCCTAACCAAAATCACACTTTCCTGGTGTGTTCCATAACTGTAATATATCTGCACAAGATTTTTTCTGTTGAAAATGAACCATGATTTTCAGATGGCAGCCCCTGTACCTTTAAGTGAGCAATCACAAAAGACCCTTTATATTTGTGACTATTATACTGAGGGATTGTTTTGTTACAACAACAATAACAGCTGATAAAATAGTTCTTGTGGTAGATCAAGAAATGTGATTGCAGTCATCAGACACCCTACAGTTGTAACATCATGACTTAACAATGACAAGACAGAAATCATGAGTTACTGAGATCTCTATCAACATCTGGAGCAAGGGAGCAACATCGTATATTGTAATTATCATTGTTTCTTTCCTTGTTATTGTACTATTTTAATACAATGCTTTCCTCTACCTGGTGAGGGTCACTTAAAGTATATTGCATCAAACCAAGATCACTGTCTTATATTGTATCACTTTATCTTAACTGAACTTAATATTTCTAGGAAAAGGTGGGTGGATATGATATTTATGGATGTACAATTCTGCATCAATCACTGCCAAATAATGTAGCTACAGTGTGGAGTTCCCTTAAAATGGGGTTGGAAAATGTCCCTTTGGTCCACATGCTTTTTGCCGACATACTGATTTTGTTTGATTGAATGATGGACACTTGCTTACATGTACCTGACTAAATTAAAACCTGTAATTTGACCTTCTTAGAAACTATTTTACAAATAATGATGTCACAGACAATGTTATAGAACAAACATAGGTATGCATGTTTAATCTGTGTTTAATTAGGATGTAATGTTTGTGTTTAATCTGAGATCTAAATTAGTTCTTAAAGTTTAATCATATTTCTTTAAATTATGCAGTGAATAATGTTTAATTGTTAACTGGTCTGGTTGCAGGATTTCAAAGCCTGGCATCGGCCACAGATTCAATGTTTGGTGTCAGCAGGAGCCGATCTGATAGCTATGGAAACTATTCCAAGTCTGAAGGAAGCAATGGCTTTAGTAGAGCTCCTCAGGGAATTCCCCAATACAAAAGCCTGGATCTCATTTTCCTGCAAGGTAATTTACAGTGCCAATTTTATTAATCTTATGGGTAGACTAACCATCTTTATGTTGATTGGTATATTACCAGAGGAGCATAGCACACTTTTAGGTCATACTGTATATGTGGATGTCTCTTTGCTTGTCAAGGAAATATCTTGTCAAGAATAGCCTATACTAAGGTCGGTTTGTCTTTATTTTTACTCATTACATGTTATAACAGAAGCGTTCCTTTAAAATAGGTCCTATCTTCACTGAAAAGCTTTTTACATGTGAACGTGCCTGCAGATCTCTCAAGTCCCCTTTTTGGCAATGTTTTTTGTCTCAGGATCAAAAATGCATTTCTAATGGAAGAGAGTTTACAGAAGCAATCCAGGTGGCAAACAGAACACAGCAACTGGTGGCGATTGGTGTGAATTGCTGCCATCCTGCACTGGTCACTCCACTGCTTATGTCAGCCAGTCAACACAAATCTCCAAATGTGAGCTGGGTTGTTTATCCAAATAGTGGAGAAGAATGGGTTAAAAATACTGGGTAAGTTTATATTTTGAAAGTAAATACTGTTGCGGTTCAGGTGTAGCCGAATGTTTCCAACAAAATCACCTCATTTTAAAACAATGATACACTGGGCACTGTATAAGTGTTTATGTGGCTGTCTTAAGTTTTCGAGCATTAAACGCCGTGAAATATACAAATGATGTCTGGTGCCAATCACTAATTCAGGTTAAACCAATTCTTAAATCAGTACATCAGCCATCTCAGAACATCATATTTAATAGTGACCAAATGATACTGAGTGAGGTCATTAAGCCAGTCTTCTTGGGGATGGGACATAGCACAAAGAAGGCCTCAAATCAGTATAAAAAGGACACAATAAACAGGGAAGAGATCTCAAAGGAGAGACTATAGAAGTAAAATAGATATGAGAGAAACCTTTATAAGGACTAAAAAACTGAATCTGCCCAAGTAATCTAAGCGCTCAAAGTGTATTACACTCTGAAGAAAATGACTTGCTGTATTTACTGTTTTCCTTATCGTTGAATCCATGGGCTAAAAGACGTCTCTCAAAGGTTAGTGATGCCCCATTTTGGAAAATAGGAATATACTGTAGGTTCCCATTCATTCAGCCTTGATTGAAGGTACAGATTCCTTCTTTTGCCATTTTAAGTAGTAGAGTAGTTTACTGCCATATGTACACGTATATTGGAATTCTTAATTGCGTTGATCTCTCAGTACATACACAATACAACAGACAACATCACACGATGTAGACAACTGGAACAATAAATATGTTGAGGGACAATAGAATATGTTGGTGTTTTTTGTCTCACATTCAGGTAGAATGATGTATTTTGTATGTAGGAGGCAGGGCTCTAGTAACTCACAGAACTGTAAATTTCCTTGACCTTAGGGGGTGTCTTTTTTTTTCATAATTTAACTGGTGACAGGACCTGATTTTTGTTCATTTTATACTCATAACCCCCTCTTCTATTCCAACACATTTTATAAACCTGCAAACCATTCCACAAAATACCTCCTAATCCACCTGATTCTAATTAGTATTGAAAATTAATATACAATAGAAACCTATCACTTGTATAAAGGTAGAAAATACTCTTGTATTCAAAAGATTAATTTGTTTACATATTTGATTGATCTCTTTAAGGTGGAAAACAGAAGAAAGCAAAATACCTTTTGCTGAATTAAGCCTTGAATGGAAAAATCAAGGAGCTGAATGGATTGGTAGTATACTTAAACACTGCTTTATATTATTTCATAATATATTTTTGGATGTACAATTTTTCATTTCATATTGTATCTTTATGATAACATAAATCTAATGCTTATACTGTAGAACCTTTGAGCTAAGTGTGTTCTTGCATTTTTCTTAAAACAGGAAAATGTTTTGTTTATAACATCGTAGAGCCACAGGCATGTCATAGGAATACTTTTTTTGAGAGACACAAGGATCTAACCAATATCTTTTTTTTTTTATGCAGGTGGATGTTGTCGAATTGCCCCTTCTGACATAGTCCAGTTGAAACAGTGTCTGCAGTAGCACAGGAATTCTTATGATACATGAGTGATGCAAGCTAAAATTAACATTTAATACAATACAGACTATTACTCCAATAACAGACTCTAAGAATAGGAGAAAAACCTATGAACCACAGATTGTATCAATTCCACAGTATATTGACATTTATAATTTAATTGCATTGGTTATTTTTTTATCACCGAGAACTCACAGAGGAAGAAATGATTAAATTTAGTTGAATATATACAATATACTGTAATAAAATGTGAAACCTGTGTTTAAGAAAATTTGCATCCAGGCAGTATTATTGTAAATAATACAATAAAACTTGATTAAATAACAAGGGTATAAATCTTTATTTAAAAACAAAATACCAGTTACAATTAAACAAACTTCCAAGTAACAGAAACTAAAGACAATGGAATCCATTATTTTTTCCCACTTAAAAGGGTAGGACACGGTCAAATAAAATATGAGTATACAAACATGCAGTCGTGTCTTTCCATATTGCACATTAATCATAAAATCCTAATCTTTATGTGATCTAGAATTCAATAAAAACATATTCTGAGAGATATGGTTTTCTGCTTTACTGAAGGAGGACCCAGTGACCTATGCTTGTTTACTCCTTGGCTTTATCAACTGTTAATAAGAAAAACCATGTGCTTACAGAACGTTTACATATACAGTACAGCACTCACTGATTTTGGATCTTGATCTTCGAGTCTCGTCTCATTTTTGTAATACAGTGCATAAGAGATCTCCACAAACGAGAGCATGGTGGAATGTGAAGTACAGAATGCACTGCATAGACTACATACAGTAGGTTGATGTCCATTTCGATGTTCTTGAAATAACCAAATTCATTACATGTAAACTCATTCATGTTCTGTAATTCTTCATGGGAATTTAATTTTCCATCAAGTGCTGGCATTTTACAGACATACAGATAGTTTTCATCACTTTTTTTCAGTCTTCTATACATCCTGTGCTGTGGACCTATCAAATGATAAACTTTGGCTACATACAGCCCTCTTTCAGGGCTCTTTATATAAAGCTGGAGAGTTGTTTCTGATATAGGAAATTTTGCATGCTTATTTTGCATTTATTAAGGTACCTTTGGGCTACACTTGTTTCTGCCAATAGATTTGACAAAATCAACTTCTAAACACAACCTGTCAACAATAAACTGTGACAGCTGATGTGAATTTGTCCATTTTAACTTTGCTACCCCAGAAAATGCACATGTAATTTTTGGTTATCTTAATACAGATGAAACCTAATTGCACACTGAATTCCACACAGCTTACACAAGTTTTAGTCAGTCGTGCCCTCCTCCATTTCACTCTCTGGGGAGCCACCATGCCTATATTCATACGTATTAGACAATCGTTTCCATGTCATTTCTTTTGGAAAGCTCCCACTCAGTGACCTTCCCAGACGTCCCAGTTGTTTACTGGATGGCTTTTCCTCGGGGTTGTCAGAGCCCCCAGACATGCTCCGATCAGCAGCCTGGTGGTGAAGGTCATGCCGAAGGTTCTCCAGATTTAAAGCCCAAGGGCCAAGTTTTTGCCAGTTCACTCTTTGGAAGGCTATAATACAGTGTAAATTTCCTCCCACCTGTTAGAATGCAAGATTCTGATATTTATCCGATATTCATGTTATGAAGAAGAACCCATTTAAGAGCTTAATGCTTTTCTTATCCATGTAGTCTTCCTCTCAGATTCTGATCAAAGACAGTTCAGTTACTTAAAAATTGACAGAATTAAAAAGTACTCAACACCATTGAAATAAAGCCTGACATTCCTAACCCTCAGCAGGGTTGAGCCTGGTCAGCACCTGGATGGGAGACCTCCCGGGAAGCTATGGTTGCTGCTGGAAGTGGCGTAAGTGGGACCAGTAGGGAGCACTCACCCTGTGGTCTGTGTGGGTCCTAATGCCCCGGTATAGTGGGGGGGGGACACTATACTGTAGTAGGCGCCATCTTTCAGTTGAGACGTTAAAGCGAGGTCCTGACTCTCAGTGGTCACTAAAAATCCCCGGGCATTTTTCAATAAGAGTAGGAGGTTATCCCAGTGACTGTGCCAAACTTCCCCCCTCGGCCTTTACCGTTGCCTCCAAATTGTCCCCATGTATGATTGGCTTGCTCTTGCCCTGCGATGGACTGGTGTCCTATCCAGGGTGTACCCTGCCTTGCGCTCGTTGCTTGCCGGATAGGCTCCTGCTGCCCGCAACACCATATATAGTATAAAGCGGTTTGGCGAATTGCTTGACATGACATTCCCAAGCTTTTCCCGACTGATTTTGAGACTCAGCTCAGCAGCACACAGAGAGCTTTCATCTTTTCACATCCTGCAAGGAGTTAGCACTAACTGAAAAGGCAATGCAACAAGTCAGAGGGGTCACCGCAAGTCCAAAAAGACCAATGCCCACCCTTTCCTGGGGGTGCTGTGACCAATGTGCACTGCCACCTGGGCACTCCCGGTGACAGCTGGCTAGTAACGTGGCCCAGATTCTCGCCAGCAATGCCTGGCCCACAGATCTCGACCTGCCCTCTGAAGGAGTGCCTTCATCAACCCTCTCTTCATGTTCCATTTTTGCAAAGACAGACAATAGGGAGGCTATGTTTAAAATAAGCACAGTCACCAGGAGGCCATGAAGAGCCCTTTTCAGTTTGAAATCAAAATAGGTTTTTAAAAATGAAAGAAAAGCCATGAATATGTTCCCGTCCTTAGCCTGGCCAACTTCACAGAGCTCCTGTCCTTTATTCTAAAATTCTACTTCATAAATGCTGATGTAGTGTCCACCAACAAATCTTATGCTCACCCAGCAAATAAACTGGAAGCTTTAAATAGCAAACTGTCCTGATACAGTATTACTACCTTACAGCTTCTCCAGCTTTCTAGCAGCAGTACAACCCTAACTCTTCTGATGTGTACTGAATCATAGCTTCTAATAAATGTAATTACCTTGAAAAGGACAGGAAACACACATACCTTTTTTGTTTTTCTGTACTGTATGCCTCTCTCCGTATGACGGATATCAAGATATTCTGGATTCTGCGTGTTCAGATCTGTTACAATGTCTGCCCACCTGAGAACAAAACCATTCTTTTAATCCTCTTCAACCTGGAGGCAAATTCATCCCAACTTTACTCTTAATTTTATCTGATACAACTGCTTTGCAATAAGCATTCTAATTTTAATTGAGACAACTGTCAAGTAAAGGTAATTATGAGTTTTTAAGTAGAAACTGCTCAAGATTTATGAGAAAATATTTATATTTATCTCAACCAATTAGATATGAACTCCATAACATCAGAAGTAACTTTGGGCATGTATTGCAATATTGTTAAGGAATTAAAAGTCAAAATGTAAAATGACAAAAAAAATGAAGACATACTTTTTACAGTGAATAGCTGGATGTTTTCTGCTAGGTTCTCCAATTAGGATCCAGTGTTCCATTTCATGATTTGGAAGATGTCCCCTTAAGGATAAATAAAAGATGCAAAGTATAATATGCCGCATATCATTTTAGAAGTTTTTAAATTTCAGAATCATATAGTCTTAGCAGGCAAAAGTACATTCAAGATAACTTGTTTTTAAAACGGAAAAGATTTCAATAAAACTTTCAATGAAAGTTATTTTTATCCTCATTTAAGAGACGGACAGATGTATGTTGTATTCCTTTCCCTTCTGCAATATGTCACTTATAGTATGCACATATCCCACAAACTGCTACATTCTTTGTCTGAACATGATGATGCCAAATTAGCCTGATTTGTAAAGAAAATATGCCTTCTTATAATTGTCATGTTCTGTAATAAAATTCAAAACTACTCAAACAAAATTCAAAATTGCACCCAAGATCTCTGTAACTTTGCAGCAGTTCGAGGTGGATTAAAAACTCGTGCACCTCAGAATTTATTAAAGAGGATTCCCATCAAGTATTCATACCTGTAGGCCTTAGCTGCCTTCAAAGGAGTGGCTTCAAATCCCAAAGGACAGAAATAGTGGTTCTGACAGTGGTAGATAAAGGCCATGGATTCATCCTTCAGCCCTTGAGTCAGCTTCATAAGAGCCCCCTCAGCTATTAAGATTTTAAAAGGCATGAGAATTACCAATGGCATTACAAGCTCCAGTTTGCACATATGGTTAATAACCACAATCTCTTATTACTCTAAATCACCATTATTAAGTACTAAAATGTCACTATTGAGGGTGAATAGCATGAACAAAAGGAAGGAGTTGAAATAATATTCACGAAAATTAATGTACAGAAGTTCTCTTTTGAAGATGGTTTAAAAGAGTTGTCAATTACAGGAGTGAAGACTAATATGTACTGTACAGGCAGCAGGATGGATGTAGGCAGTGAAAACTTACCAGTTTCTCCAGCGGTTTTGTTTTTCCCATGGGGTTTGTACAAAATATAAGAACATCCGCGCACACGGAAATTATCGTTGATTTGCCTGAACCATCTGCAAAATTACAGGAGAAGGACGGAAATCAAGATTTCAAGTATGAAAGCAGAGAGATCATCTTGAAAGTAAATCTGAATCTTTTCTGCACCGCATCAGTGTTGCATTCCCAGTGAAAGGGCCGAACTTGATCTCTTCAAATGGTGGCTGGAAGCCCAAGATGTGTAGAGCCTCCTCCTGTGTGATGGGTGGGAGACTGAAAAATTGATAAATTGATAAAAAAAAAAGAATGATCTTAACTTGTCTGGTCTATTGATTCCTCACTGCTGCTCAAATACACAATGGCAGAGCAGTCGAAACAGAGACACAAACCACAGCGCAAGGCTACATTTTCAGAAAAAAAAAAGAAGTTTCTGATTTATCCTTCCAAAAAAAAAAAGTCATACAAGCAGTAATACAGACGTTTTCAGGTTTCCACTTAACATTTCTGTTCATGTGTCAGTATGCTTTGGAAATTTTACTACCATACTCCAAAGATGTTTCCAGGAAAATGAACAGCCTTAAGTAAACATTACTGATTGCTAGTTACTATTGAAACCTCTCAAGGATTTTTAATTGATATCTATTAGAGGCACTGTGTAAAAAAGCGTTTTTGACATTTTGTGAAGCTAACCTTCAATACATCTTTGTATTAAGGTCTGCCAAATTACATTGTCCATTTCTTACAAAAACCTGTACTACCATAAAAAGAGGTGAGAATACTTATTTCTAGAAACCCATAGATTTCTACAGTGATGCAAAATATTTCCAAACTAAGCTTTATATTTTTCACCACAAGTGATCACTTTGTAGGATTAATGACTGTTCAATAAACGTATAGATAGTTGTTAAGTATAATGTAAAAAATATTGCTTAAGTATCAACGCTATTACAGAATGTACAAATACTTATTTCCTGCTACATATCCTGGATGGTGAGATTTACAATGAAATTCTTACAAAGAAAGAATTAAGCCACTAACTCGAGAAACATTCGTACCATCTTAAAAAGAGCTCGCTTCTTTGTAATTGTTATGAAGCGATAAAAATGTCTATTTAAGTCTTACCTTCCTGCTCCAAGTGTACTATACAAAAAGTTCCAGCATGAAATTAGGGAAGAAATTCCACAAGAGGTCTTGTACTGAGGCCGGCTAATGCAGTACCTGGAACACAATTCACGGTAGCAGACATTTAAAGATGACAGTCAAAATCCTTTTAAATGATCTCTCTTTTAACAGTGCTTCAAACCCTGCAGTTCCAGGAATGAAAAAGCAGAAAGTCATTCATTTCCTTTGAGTGCTTTTTAGTTTTTAAATGACAAAAATGGCATCAGGTAAACTTAACATGTCACAGTTCCATTGTGAACGCCACCTCAAACACTAATTGACGGTCTGCATTATGTGAAATCTAGGACATAATAATATGTATAGAAAACTAGGATATTTCCTTCTGAGATCTGTGGCTAAACAGTCTTTTACTTTTTGTTTTTTTATTTAATCAATGGAAGGATCACCGATGAATGTTACTGATTTGAAAACGGTTTCTCGGTCGCAACATTTTTGTTTACCTACAGCAGGGTTTAAACATTTTTAAAACCTGTCCGAAAATGATATTATACAGACTGTTTTTAGGTCCATCTACCATCTCCTGAGATCCAGAACTTTTCTTTGCTTAATTTCTTCTAGAGTTGCATGCTGAGGAAACTCTTGCAAATTTCGGTGTTTGTCAGAAGTCTTTAGTTTCTTAGAGCTGGTCTTCTTCACGTTGCCTGTGAAACAGAGGAAAAACTAATTTTTATGGCTGAAAATTTGCAAAATACACTAGTTTAAAATTAATCTTGTCTTGAAAAATATCTGGGACCTTGCAATGCACTACTTCTTATCTCTATCTAGTCAGCTGAAAGATATGTTGTACTAATCTTACATTATACTGTATTTCAAAATTCACATATAATAATAATAATAATAATAATAATTGCTTACACTTATATAGCGCTTTTCTGGACACTCCACTCAAAGCACTTTACAGGTAATGGGGTCTCATCCCTTTTCGAGAAACACCCTGGGATTTTTAATGACCACAGAGAGTCAAGACCTTGGTTTTACGTCTCATCCGAAGGACGGCGTCTGTTTACAGTATAGTGTCCCCATCACTATACTGGGGCATTAGGACCCACCTGGACCACAGGGTGAGCGCCCCCTGCTGGCCCCACTAACACCTCTTCCAGCAGCAACCTTAGTTTTTCCCAGGAGGTCTCCCATCCAGGTACTGACCAGGCTCACACCTGGTTAGCTTCAGTGAGTTGCCAGTTGTGAGTTGCAGGGTGATATGGCTGCTGGCCATATTGAGCTCACTACTGAATCAGCTTTCTTCTGAACGCAGAGGAATTACCAACTAGAGACAATTTACAAAGAGGTACCTTGTGCAGTGTGTGAATAAAGCCACAATGAATGAGATGCAAACAAATTGACAGCATCAATCTGCCTCTCAGTGGGCACACTGTGTAAGTACTGCACTGTGTGCAGGTGAGTTACATAAGAATTTGCAGCTGAGATGTATGTGTTCATAACTAATGTTGCTTTTATGAATAACAGATTGGCAACAAATGCTGTGTCAATTACTTAAGCATAGCAAATTTTATAAGTCACCTCTGTTATGATGGCTTATAACACAGTGAAGTATCAAAATATAATTATAGTAAATGACATTTCTTAGAGGATGGCAATACACCTTAAATACAGCTCCAATTATTCATAGCTCAAGCTGCAGTTCTCTTTTGATATTCCACCAAGCAACAGCTGAAATAGTGTCCCACACACCTGAGGAACACCCAACACCCAACAAGCTGAGCTTTTCTTCTTTCCCTCTACTTTCCAGGGTATACGTCTGAGAAAACCCATGACAAGTGAAAGATCGGCATGATATGAGGAAGGCTTTAGAAGGGGTGAGAATTTATTGCTGCCTCCAGTCAAACATTATATTTTAGAATGGCTATTCTTAGGCTTAGGAAGCAGTTCTGATAAAACACTGGAGGGTGGAACGTTCTAAGGGATTAACACTAGAATTGGAAAGTGAAAGAAAACACATAATAATCAGAATTTAAAATCTGATCCTTTTTATGTTCTGAAAAGATGCCCACTACAGTACATTAATATCACACAGGGCTTAACATATTATAAGAGAAATATCATGCTACACAGTACATCATATCACCTGACTTTAATTGACCCTGCTTTCTCATTTCAGACATTCAGCTGTCTTTGCACTGAGACTCAGTTCAACTCCAGGACTTGTTTTAAAACTGCGATCCCGGTCTGTGTGCAAAACCTGGCTCTCAAATCATTAAACAAAGTGCTTTGCAATAGATGACAACAGCTGTGGTGCTCTGCACCTCACACTGACTCACTGTCTTACTAATCTCAGCTGCATCATTCCCTTGGTTGTGAGCAATCTGCATCTTAGCGGTCTGTGCCAACTCCAGATCTCCAAAGGCATTTCTTAACACTTGTTAGGGGTTACAAAAAGGACATGAGAGTAATTGCCTAACGGACACCTTCTTTGACAGCTTCCACCTTAAAAACCAGGCTTGCGGCTTGAAGCCACTGCAGTTACTGACCTCTAGCCAAAATGTGGACATTTTCAACAGGGGGCGACCGCCGCGTCTCACTTACTTGTCCTGCTTTTCATCCTTGTCAACACCGCGTCGAAATCCGTCGTGTCTATCTCCCAGGCCAGCACGGGCTTGGCTCGGCTAGGGCACACGGGCTCCGGCCCCGAGGCCACATCGTAAGGCTGGTTCGCGCCGCTGGCCTGCCCGTCGGTGTAGCTCGTAGCGCCGGGCTGCGCGACGGAGGGGACGCCGTCCTGCGCTCTGCCTGCCCGTCCTGTCGACGCCGAGGGGGAGATGTACACCGAAGCAGCCTGGTTGAGCAAGGCGTAGTCGGAGCAGACGGTGTAAAACTTCTCGCGGGAGTGGGTGACGGGGCAGGTCCATGGAAGCTGTCCCTCACCACTGGGTGCTCCTGGGGCACCTAAAGCGCCTTTGCTGAAAGAATTCAACAAGCTCTGGTCATCATCTCTGTTTGCAGGCTTCTCGGTCTCCGCCTGTCCACCGATCTCTGTGAGGCTTGCTCCTTGAGATTCTGCAGTGTTAGGCATTGAATGAAAGTTGGATGCTAGATGGGAGAACAGTCCGTCGTTGATGTGACGTTAAGGCACCACCAAGCCCGAGATTAAACCCCGAGAGCTGAGAACTAATAGAGAGAAGGAGAGAGGAACAAAAACCACATTCACATTACAATCAGGAGCAACTCGACAGAACTCAGAATGAACCTGGGCATTATGTTTTACTTTTCAAATACGATTTCTTTCTTTCAAGCAGTTAAACAAAATGCCTAACAGAAGTGATTTTTCACATCCAGTCAAAGTGCATTTCTTAAAAGCTTTTCAGCTAAACAGCCATCGCTAAAGTAAAAAAAACAAACAAACAACTTTACAGTTAAAAGGATTTCATTGGGTCAAGGTCTGGAAACATTCTGAACAAGTTCAGTAGAAAAAGTACAAATACACCTATTACTGTAGAGCTCCAAAATTTGTTGACCCGAGGAAAATAACATTTAACGAAGCAAACCACTGTTTCTCCTTTTAAACGCGGTTGTACTAATACGTACTGTATATCACCGTCAACATTTAAAGACAATTCATTGCAAGCATCCTGTAACAGTGCAGACTTCACCTATGGTAACAAAAATGCGTTATTGAAAGTCTTATATAAATTAAGATACTGTACTTCTTTACTCCTCTACTGAACCGCATGTGCACTTTCTGTAATGATAGCTCTTTTTACAAGAACCGGGTGTTGCTCTTCACTGTTGGTTCCACACCGAAGATGTCCAACTAATTAAAAAAAAACAGATATTGTTGCCATGAGCAATTTTAGTCACCCATGGAGACTATAGAAGGACACCCAACAGCAGCCCACATGGTTATAGTCCCTTTCACAGGATTAATCACGAAAGTGGATATACTGTTACAGTTTCCTTGATCATCACCATCATCAGAGGAGCTAAACCAAATGGCTACGTACAGTCTCGCTTTCAGATTTATTTGCTGCAAGATGACACCTGGGGTTTAACTGTTCATTTTTTATATCTGTAGTTAGAAGTTAAAACAAAACCACAAAATAACCCGAAACCACATGCAAACATTCTAAAGCATTAAAAAGATCAATAAGATCGTATTGGAAAACGAATGACCTGTCTCGTCTGGTTACGTTTTGAGACCTGTCAACTTTAACGTTTTGCTCCAACATGACCTAACACACCGCGTATGAAATGTCAAAAAGAGGAAATAAGGAAGACAGTACGTACCATCAACACAAACATGAAAAGCTAATGGACGAAATGTACACAACCACAAATGCTGCCGAAAGGCCAGCCTCTTTGCACTAGAATCCGTTGTCTTCCTGCTTGGACTCTCCTTCCAGACTGTACCGCTGGCGAGGGGTGTTGTACAGATTTATATTTTTACCTACTGAAAGTACTCCACCGCAGCCGAAAAAGAAATGCGCTTTGTTTATTTTAAGGTACGTGTCAAGAAATGCGCGATTATTGGTTCATACGTAAAGCAATAAATTACATATTTGTGTAAAATCTTCAGAAGTCTCCCCTCTGTGTAATTCATGCTAGTGACTAAGTGGGGAGGGGATAAACTTCTAGCCAATTAAACGAACCGAATCTCTCCGTGCTATTTTGTAATTTGGGTACAGAGTATAAGAGAGGTTTCTATGGATACTGAAACATACGCTTCTAGGCTTTCTTATTGCTGTAGCCAGACTATATTTTTACCTGTTTAGAAAATTATTATAAATGTAGAAAAGAGATACATCGACCCACAGTATTCATATCCGTTTAGTTTGTTTTGGGTCAATGCACTGTTAATGACGATTTAAATTGACATATCTGTTCTTCATCGTGCGCCAACATGGGTTATGAATTTCCTGGAAGCTTTTTCATGCAATATACAGTATATATATATACTATCGTCTGTTTCTCCTGTTATTTGTCTTAAAAATAAGTGAATTATTAAGTTTAAGATTAGTTGGAAACTCTTTTCGATTGTTGTAAACAACTTTGAGATTTATGTTTAAAATATTTGATTATACCCATTAGACATAAGTGATGCATTTCTTTTGTACCTTGAAATAATACATTGTAAAAATTAAACTGGAGATGTGATGGACAGCTTCAGATTTATATTAGTGAATTCGTCAACAATGTTAAGTTGTAGAAGTGAAATGCATCACAACTATAAGGTATCCATCCTAAAGATGAACTAATTGCCTGTTTTTTTTTATCAGTGGGTAGAGAAGGTACAGTATGATGGCACTGCTATAAAATAAAAAGGTCATTGTCAGGTTTTAAATTAAAAGACATAATGGATCTTCTTACTTAGGCAGTGGAAGATTTTAAAGCTCAATTATGTTCTTTAGATAGACTATCAATAGTACACAGCAACACTAAAATCCATGCCAAATGTAAAGTTCACAATTCACTAACATTCACCCCCACATTGTAGACACCCTGCACCTACAATTCTAAAAAAGGAATCAGTTTGATATTGATTTCTTTGGGCTCAAGAGTGGAGAGATAAATTGGTTATTGTGGTGCAAATATTAACTTTTAAATCATTTGCTTTAGTTAACTATTAACAGAGGTATTTTTCTGTCTGTCACCAGTTTCTCATGACCAAGTACAAACAGTACACTTCACTGTTGGAGATTAGTACATTATATATACAGGACTTCTTTTGAACATTTGATCCATATTTTATTTCGTCTTATATTGAAGCTTGTCCATTAATCATTTCATAAACTTTGGAGTGTGGATTAAGGTAAGTCTCTGTCTTTGCGAGCATACTTTGGAGCTGTAGTTAGAGTTCCACATTCGTAACTGGAAGGCTATAGTTTTAAATATTGGGTTCAGCACTGTTACTGTACCAAGAGTATAGCACTTTAGATTGTTTCAGTAAAATGCTCACCTGTAAAAATAGGTACAAATGTGTGTTGCTTGGAAAAAATAATCATCCAAATAAATTAATAACATTAATATGTCAGATAAGAATGTAACTCTTTTTATGTGCATCAGAAATGGAAATTAACTCCTCAATTCTGATATTAGCATATGAAGAGTCATACAAATACAGTCAGTTCTGGCAAATTACAAGCTGCACGTTAATTTACAAATACATAAAAATATTGTCTCTTCACTATCGGACCCCAAATTGCAGTGGGTAAAATCTATAGAGGGTTTCGGGCCTTGTCAAGTACTGTATATGTCTACTAGCTTGGATAAACATTTTAGACAAACTGATCAAATATTAAAACACTCTACATAATTTTGCAAAGACAGGAACTGGAATGATATTGCTCTCATACCTAGATAATTGATAAAAATAATTTAAAAAGGTGAATAAGTGATTAAAATTACCAAAGACTGTTAGACAGTCTTATTGCTGTAAGGCGTGATAAAAAAACATCTAAACCAGCCTCCTGGTGTTAAATGATGTTTACTGATAAGAACCTGATCAATGATTACCTGTGTGTCAATAATCCATGGCAATACCAGAGCTTCACAGAGGAAGTCCCTTCAACTAAGGTTGAAAACACAACGGCCCTGTTCCTATAGGCCATCGCAGCCTTGTGCCCTCTCAGGTTTGCAAGTTAATTTTTAAATGTATTTTTATATATACAAAAAGGAAAAACACAATGTTCACAACATGACAGAACAGAGGTAACATCAAGTGAACGAAACAGAAAAAAACACTTTGTCAACAGCAGAGGTTATGCGGCGTTAGGGGTCACATTAAATAAGTTTATATGCTAACGGATTTTTGTATTTTGTAAACCAACTCACCAAGCTCATTTTTAAAGATTTTTAGTGTATGTGAGCATAGCTTAAATGAGTTAGAAAGTTATTTAAAGCACATAGGAGTTTTTTTACTCTACACCTATGTATGTAAACTTTTGCCAACATGAAACATGAGAATGACATTTGCTATTATACAAACTTCTTGGTTTGGCTCAGGGTGTCCCATTTCTAAATTTGTTTCACAAGGCTGTTCACAAGCGCCCCCTTCTCTGAAGTCCGCCTCGGAGCGGAACTCACCCAGAATTCCTCGCGGAATGCTGACGTTTCATCTAGCCTATCAAATCGGAGAGAAGCAGCCAAGGAGAATAAAATATTCACGTTTGTAAAGTTGAACTTTATTTTACTGTATTAAAACTTATAATACTTCATTCATACTGTATTCAAGGGATGAAGTGTTGAGATAGAGCTTTTGTTTTTGTCACCCCATTTCGACTGGTTTATATACCGGTATTTGTGTACCCTAGTCGTGTTTCGTACGTGGATAAGACAAAATATTTAATAGAACAAAGCTTTGAGGTATTGCCAGGGTTACTTTATTTCGTTTACTTTCACCACGTGAATGGACGCGCCATGTCATGTTTGTGCTGGGACAGACGAGGTGGAAGGTATTTAGCAGTTCAAAGCTTTGAAGAAACAGAGAGCGGTATTGTCAGGTTTTCCTTAGTTAACGTCGCCTGTTTCGAGTGCAGCCTGTTCAACATGAACGAACGGGATATGTCACTTCTTTTGTCCAGAGACAGCCGAATTGAAATTGAGTTTTATCAAAATGCCAGCGGAGAAGGAGCAACAGCAGTCTCTCCAGCGATGACGTCATGCGGGGGCGTCCCAGTACTCTTAAGGTGCACCCAGACCGACCTGTTTGCGCTACGTCAGAGACAGGCGGACTTGGAGGAAGGGTTTAGGATTTAGTGTTTAGTGCAGCATTTGGGACGCGGCATTTATGTTTTTGGACGAGTTTTTGCGTATGTGTTTTGCTGGATTATTGATTAATTATCGATGCACATTGATAGAACTCTTCTGAACTACGTCATCGGTTAAAAGGTATTATTTGTTTCGATGGCTTTGCTTTATTTTGGGTTTGAACACGGTTCCGTGAAGCTCTGGTGGTCGTTTCGTTTGATACAAGGCTGAAGTTTAATTAATAATTGTGCTGTGTGGGATTTTTTATTATCGGTTTATGAAACTTTGCTGCCAGTCTTAAAAATGACGGTTTGTTTTTCCCTCAGGGCTCCTAGGCGATCTGATCACGCCGTTGTGTAGCTAGGAGCCGGTTCTGAGGATGTCGTTAGAAAACACTTCCTTCTTCGGGGCCAGGTGTCCCCTGTGAAAGACCGTTCTGGCTGGATCGTGTCTTTGGTCTCTTGCATTGAGCAGGTCGGCGTCATGGCCAAGAAGCTGGTGCTGGTGGACGCGGACTGCGGTATAGACGATGCCCAGGCTATAATGATGGCCCTGGCCGCCCCGGCCGTCCGCGTCCTGGGAATCACTTGCTGCTTTGGGAACGCACCCGTGGAGAACGTCTGCAGGAACACCCTGCGAGTCCTCGCCGTGTGTGACAGGACTGAGGTTTGTGTTGCCCGGAAGGTCGTGAACCTTTCTGGTTCTGTCTCATTCTTCTCATCCTGCCATGTTTTGTTTCTTTCTGCGTGTAGCTGTCTCTGGATTTCAAGATCTTTTGCATTTTTTCCCTCCCTGATCTATTTGACAATTCTGCTTTAATAAAGGAAAAAGGGGGTTGTGCAGGCATGATGTGCGGTATGATGATCAGACATGTTGCTCATGTGTGGGATCGGGTTGGGCGTGTTTGACCTGTTGAGGTGTCACATACTGTATAATGGATCTAAGATTCATTTACTTTCATCAGCCGTAGTACTTGGCAAACAAAACTAGGGAGCTGTGACTTTCTGAGATGAAAGGCTTTTTTAACTAATCAAAGCGCAGTCCGAGGTGTAGATGAGCTGCAAGTAAAGTATATAGCTGAGGCACAGCCAGACTGCCATGAAAACACAGCACTGCTGGGCAGAAACTGTTACTGTGGAGCCAGCATCACCACCTTTTTCTTCCACAGAGCTCAGTCAATGTTTCAATGTTCAATGAGTATTGCAAAGCATGGTACTCATGAGAAATTAAATGAGAGGTGCCATCCCGTTTTATTTTAGGTTCCTGTGTTCTGCGGTGCTGCCTCCTCACTGATAGGGGAGCAGAGCCTAGCCTGCTGTCACTTTGGGACAGATGGCCTTGGTGATGTACCAGACGAAAGCAACCCCAAGGCTCTGAGTGCTCAGGTCAAGACTGAGCACGCAGTGAACGCCATGATCCGAATAGTGTCTGAGCACCCGGGCCAGGTGAGTGTGACAGAATGACCACATCTCGTTGGGGTTGCCTCTCTTCGAAAGAAAGGCACACACCCGAGGCCTAATGCGGGCTTGTTGGGAATTTAAAAATAGTGTAACTCCATCAAGATCTGGCAAAAAAAAATGTTGACTTGAACCTTCAGCTGAAGGAATTTATAAAACACACGGTCATCAATGGGTCGTTTGATGTTCTTTTCCAGTTTGCTATTCTAGTGTGCTAAAACCACATCTTAATTTGTAACAGTTTGTTGCTGAGAATTGTGTATAGATTATGCCCTTCATAAAAGCATATTTTGCATATAAATTATTATTATTAATAATAATAATAATAATAACAGGGGGAGCTGTGTTGCAAAGAAACAAGTGGAGGTTAATTCCACATTGAAAGTTAGAAAAAAGTTTCAGCTGTTGATCTGTTTTTCATCATGGAATTAACCTCTCCCTGCTCCTTTTAGGTTTAAGCAAATGTAGCCTGCGAGTCCACACTGCGTATTGTACCATACAACATGTTAATGCCCTCTTGTGGCACACTTATACTACTACAATTAAGGTTGAAGAACCCATAGCTTTTTTTCTGTGTAACTTTTTCCTGGCAGGTTTCTCTAGTAGCCCTTGGACCCCTGACTAATCTAGCTCTTGCTGTGCGAATGGACCCTACTTTCCCTGTGAAACTTAAGAATCTCTTTATCATGGGAGGAAATATGGAAGGTAAGAAAGGAACATTTGTTTTTAGCTGGATTTTTGCCACATTCCTAATGCAGTTTCACAGTGATCAATCAATGCTTTGGACATAAACTTTCTTGCTCATAACTGGGTTTATCAGTTGATCCAAGGATCTCATCCAGCCATTTTTTGAAAGAAGTCAAGGAGTCAGTTTCCAGAACATTGCTGGTAACTTGTTCCTCACTCCCACGACCCAACCCTTCGTGTGCTTGTGACCCCAGGGAAAGGCAACCGGACAGCATGTGCCGAATTTAACTTTGGAATGGATCCAGAAGCAGCTCATATTGTCCTGAAGGAGTTCTCTTGCCCTACACATATCGCAACTTGGGAATTTACCTGCCATCACCAGTTGCCATGGGTAAGCGCTTCCACTTCCTTCACTGGATTTACTTCCTTTATGGCTCTTCCCAGTTTCATGCACAAACAAACCTTTGAATATTGGTTCCACACATTTTTCTTATGTTTCTTCCCAAATGCATCTTAATTAACATCTCATCCTATTCAAATCCAGTCCTCAGGACTGATGAGGTCAAGATTATTCACTTGGCCTATCACTGTCACAGCACTATTTTACATTAAAAAGCAGAAGGCTTATTTCTGCATTGTTCTAAAGAGGCAGTGCATGTACAAAAGCCACATCTTAAAGCTCGTCTGTTACTTGCCGGGATGCTCTTATAGCCCTAGCCAATCTTTTATCATTCAGGGAAATTTTAAAGCAGCAAACGAAATAAAGGAATAACTATTAGTAGTGGTACACAGTGGATAACTGGGATGATTTTCAATCTTGAACAGGAATTCTTTGAGGAATGGGTTAACCAAGACACCGCTGCTGCTGCTTTCATGAAGAAAATAACATCCCAGTGCACGGCGTTTTCCAGGAAGGAATGGGCGATAAAGGATGAGCTGTTTGGGCCCGGGTTTGTCTCTTGTGATTCGTATGCCATGGCTGCCGCTATTGACAGCAGCATAATGACGGAGAACATCCAGTGTGCAGTTCACGTGGAGCTGAAAGGAGATCTCACGAGAGGAATGATGGTACTAGACCCAGCCAATTTCCGTAACAAGCAGCACAAAACATTTGTGATGAAGGCGTTTGATATGGACAAGTTCACACAGCTACTTGTAGCTGCTCTGAAGCAAACAACAAAAAAACATGAGCAACATGGAAGTGTTGCAATATCCTAAAAATTAAAGTTGATAGTTGTCCATTTTGACAGAGTTAGAAGATTATAGCTAACATGAGTTATAGTATATATAATGAGTTTATATTAGGTTTTTTATGGGTCAAGTATTTTTCTTAAGTTGCAGGGAGTTCTATATAAGATGTCTTTATGGAATTCTGAGTGGCCCTTAGAGACTTCTTAGAGGTCCTGTCATTCATGAGATTTTGTAAAATGATTGATACACCTTTTTAAAAAATGTAAAATTATAAATACTATGCCACTGATATTTTAGTTAGCTTTCAAAGCATATTGTTTGTTGTGTAATATCAGTCACTGTTAATGAATTCACAAATCTAATGTTTTTTATACCACACTCACTTTGGTGAATGCACTTATTCAGTGTTTATTTTGAATACAAGCTGGTGAAATTCAAGTGTTATACAGTATGGAAAATTGTATAAAAGGGGGCCATTTTATTGTTGTACTAAAGACAGAACCCTGCTGTGGCCCTTTCATTGAGACCAAAATAAACTATGTATTTACTTCAAGTTAACACACTCTAGACTGGAAGTGATTAAATCATCAGATGCCCAGGGATTGTTTTGAAGAAGCACAAGCAACTTTATGACATCACTAATTACAAGGACTCGGGAACTTTAGAGAAATATTGAAGGCAGTAAATTACATCTAATTGTATCTGGGAGTAGACACCATGCTGCAATAAATGTTCAAAAATCTACATGGCTGAGGTCTATTAACCATAAGCATCATCATTATGTCATGGACTGTTACTGATTAGTTATTATAGATATGAAAACGAAAGCCAAAATCAGTGGAAAAATTTATTTTATTTTAAAGTACAACCCAGTTTTTTTAAATAAGAAATACATCGAAACCATGTTTAAGAGTCGGCCATGAGTATTTCAGTTCAACCTGTTAAAATGCACCGAGGCAAGAAAAGAGACAGCCCCGAGCACGCAAAGATTGTAATACAGAGACTGGTGACACTGGGATACAGCTATCCTCATTGCATTGTTGCCGTATCCATCATTCAAGTTTACCCATGAACCATATTGAAGCTTCTGCCACAATGCATACATTATTGCCACCTTTTAACCATGATAATCCCTTAATAAAGCCATGATTTAACTTAACTTTACACAAAGTGCTCGTTTCAAAACTGTAATACTGTACCATAAAGAGAAGCCATACACAGTATTACCTTAAGGGAGGGGGGGGCAGCTTTAAAAATAATCAAGACATCCCTATAAGGGCAATATTTTCAATTATAAATACTTGGCTTTTGCCTTCGACAGTTGGGTTGCTGCAGTTTATTTAAAAAGTTGATGTAATTAATAAGTCCCATACTTTTCAAGACATAAGAGCAGCAGAAAACATTTCACTGCCCCCTGTTAAACGTGACAGTAGGGCTGGGGGTCCTATTGAAGCAAGTTTTGAGTCATCCCCTGCTGATGGGAAGCATCAATGAGAGTATTTGTTATAGCATAGAAATTTGCATTAAAAAAGTGCACATCACGTACAATGCTCATACTGGCTTCGAGAACCTGCGGGCTAAACGATGCCGATTTTCCTCAGTTGCCGGTGTCCGATGGAAAAGCGGAGGTGTTCGGCCAGGGCTCGGAGCTTCTCCTGCTGAGGGTGGGGCGCCACATGTTCCAGGGGTTGTAGGTCCTGCCTATCTCGGTGGGAGTCGAGGGTGGAGCTGGGGCAGCGCTGGTGCTCTCACTGCTTCCTATCAGGTCTGCGAGGGTGGAGGTGGTGGGGGACGGAGTAAAGGAGGGCAGGGTACTGTCCACACGGGTCGACCAGATGGAGCTGCTGAATGGAGTGGTTGAAGACCAAAGGCTGCTGGTGTTGCCAAGGATGGACTGAAATAAAAAAGGGAGCAATTAAAGTTACGCTTTTTAATCATTTTACAAACATTATATACAGAAAATATATTGTAGGAGTGCAGAAAAGCAATCTGAAGTTTGATTATTTACAAACATTACTATACACAGTAAATGAAATCATACCATCCACCCTTGATTATGTAATTCTGTGCAATTGATATTTCAAATACAAAAAAATAACCATTTGCTCATGGATGTCAACACTAAATGCAACCCATCCATGCTTTAAAACATGTTTTAATATTCCATATTGATAACTATTATTCCATATTGATATTCATATGATAACTGCTTCATTTAACAACTAACTAAAAACATTCTTCTAATAATGGTCACTATTTTGGTTTATCTACCCTCAAGATTAGGATTTTGATTCCAATCTGTGATTAATACTTTTTAGAGACTGGAAAGAATATATACAGTGCTTCAAATATATATGATAACAGAATACAATAGTTATAAAATTAATCTTTGTTATTCAAAAATGCAGAGAACCAATATTGTACTCATATATGAATACGATTAACTGCAAGTTGTAGTCATACAAGAAACCAGAAGTTTTTAAACCTGCTTAAAATCTGTAGACACGTGAGAGATTATACCACTGTGGATATAAGATATCTACTGAAAGCTATTTCTGGTCACAAATTGCAGTTAGACTCCATGTTTTAGCAACAGCAGTTGTCAGCAGCAGTACACAAGACAGAGATAAGCAGTACAGGTACTGGTCAAAGCAAAAAGTTCATTCTCAAGAAAGGATATGCTCTCACCATTTATATAAAAAAAAAGATTCTGTATTTTCTTCTAAATCAGCACTGCCCCTTAAGATTGTTAATCTCTTTAAGTATTCTTAAAAGAGAAGAAAGCTGTGCTTCTCGACCACAGGAAGCCGAGGCAGAGGAGAGATCTTACTGCAGTGGGAGCTGTTGGAGAGCCTGAGCTGGTGGGCCAGGAAGCCAAGGGGTCACTGCTTGGAGAGTCCCATATGGAGGGGGGCACTTGAGACAGCTCTGGCCAGCTCTGCTGGATGTCCTGATTGTAGGTCTTGGGAAAATTAATACAACTGACGACTAAAAAGAGAAAAAGATGCATTTAACTAGACTGGTAGGAGTTTGTGTAAATATAACATACTTTAATTGTATTACAATCAACGGTTATAATAGAACATTATTCACAGAGACTATTCATTTGTTATGGTTACTTACATTCATCTCTCAAAACTCACCTCCAGATAGATTAAAGGTGTTATTAGGTCCAAACGCAGAGAAAGAATTAACAGAGTTGAAGCTTGGGCTGTTAGAACTGTCAATTGGGCTCCATAATCCAGAACTACATTAAGAAAAAAACAAAAGCAGTTTAGCTTTTCTCGAAACAGGCAAGCAATACTGACCATTTTATACAAAGCAACATACGTTTGTAGCCATACATCAGTTATACATTGGGACATTTTATTTAAGCTAGGTGAAAAAACATGCTCAAGGGTACAACAGCAGTGATTTTACAAACACAAACAACTTTTCAGACGTTAATCGAAGACACCAGTTTTGCAATATATACTACCTGATTTAACGGACTAGCGTTTCCAACTTTTTAATCACATCAATGGTGATGTAGGTATGACAGTTTTTTTTTATATTAAATGGTGCTTCTTAATCTGTATACTGAATTGTAGATCACAGCATGTTTCTCTATTGGGCTGTATCTGTGGTGTATCTGGTGCTTTCTGGAGCACTTATCAGAAATAATGAGACGTTTGCTGTTTGCTGCAATATCCTGTGTAGTTCAATTTGCTTCCACCATATTTTTGCACCGTTTTGTACATTTTTCCTGGTTAAGATCTGTAGCTCATAACACAGGATGAATTATACAAAAATCAATTTACTGAAATCTGCATAATCCAGTAAAAATGTAATCTTATATATACAGATGTGGTGTAATTAAACGATATGACTATGTATGGTACAGTACGGAAATCTTTAATCTCCAATATAACAATTCTATTAGGAAAAATATAGAGGGAAAAAATCCTTACTGTTATACCCTAATTTCTAATAGATCATTCTAATCTAGTGTCATTTTATATAAGTGGATAAATGACCATGTTTATACAGTTTTCTAAAACTATATACATTCTGCCTGCTTCTTGTACTTTAACAGCTCATCAGCTAAGGTAAAATAAATCAGTCAGGTGAATGATTTTGTCCTTTATTGGAATTTGATTTACAATAAACCATTGTCTATGTGCTCATCTCCTATTTACAACTTTTCTTTGCTGTCCTAGACAACATCAACATGACACAGCCAGAAACTCAAAGTAGCCACAACGCATTTAACACTTTTTTTGTAATGGCTTTTAATCTCATATCAATTTATAACATCACATATACTAACACTTGCCAAAATGAAAATGAAATTAAACTTTCAATTAAAAATGACACTGATCTCACCTGTCTGAACCATCGCTCTCCAGAGGCATCATGTTCGGTATGGTCATGTTGCCATGAATGTCAGATTTACTGAGTGCACTCTTTACTGGGCCGCTGCCACCTGTGAACACACCACAGTTTAACTCACTCTGGCTGAAGGACGAACACCTGTAGCAAGGGGTAAAGAACAAGCATTCACCTGGACTTTTGTCATAGCCTGCAGCAACAGCTGCAAAGGTAGGATTCCCATTTTTGCCAGGTAGAGAAGTTGATTTTGTTAACTTGTGTTTGCTTCCACTTGGCTTCTTTATACCCGTCTCACTAAAAAACACAGGAGAAGATGTCACAGCCTGAGCATTCAGTACACTAGCATTTAAAAGCATGCATTTAATTTAAATTTAAACCTTGACATCACAAATTAGTGTAACACTACAGCACACACCTTTCTGTAAGATCAATTCTAAAACTTTTGATAAAGCACATACAGCAACAGAACTAAAGCTTTTTTAACATCAGGAAATCATTCTACAGAAAAGAAAATATCCCCCTTACTGTTAACAGACATGTCAAGTAGCATCGTCAACACAATCGTCAAGATTGTGACAACAGACCTAAAGCATAGGGTATCCAGATGTTAAGTAACACAAGCCTGTTGCTAATCTGGTCATCCAAGACCTTATGATGAGTAAAGGAGCAATAGGCAAAGTGTTACCTGTTTGCATTGACAACGCTGCTGTAGGAGCCACGTGTAATCAAGCTGAAAGGTGCAGGTGGTGGGGAGGAAGCCCTGCATGTGGCAGAGAGGGGTCTCTTCAGGAAAGCATCTGCATTCATTGTCTGTATGGAGATCTGCTGGAGGCTGTCCGTGGCTGGAGAAGGACATGAACAGCTGAAATGCTGCGCATTTGAAATTCACGTCAACTTTGAAATAAGTTATATTTAAATGTTTTCACCGAACGAGAGCCCTCTTTTCATCACCGTAAGCGACTGGAAACTCCACACTTCTCTGTAAGTCTTGAAAACACAGGGTCGGAGGGGGCTTGGGGCTGACTTACAGCTGCCCGCTTTGTGGATGGGTACAGAATCCCACTCTGGTGGAGGCGAATCCTTTTCTCCTTCCGAGCTGCTGCTGTGTCCCAGCTCCTGGCCAGAACCGATGGAGAGAAACTTCACCAAGGGAGATGGTCTAAAATCCTCAGGTTTCCCACTGGTTCCTTCAAAGAAATTAAGGCTGAATTAAAACTACCATTCAAATACTCTCAAACTGAAGTCACAGCTCACTACAGATCAAAACTGAATCCACAAGGGAACACAACTATATACACCATCTCCTTCACATTCAGTTTTTGCTTACCTAGAGTGTAACTTCATGAAAACTAAGGCAAACTGCTAAATGGCTTAGGAAAACAAAACCAACCTCTTTGTTTCTGCATATTCCTTGTTTTTGGGCCATTTGTTAATGCTTGATGTATCAAGTTCTTCGATGTGAAGTTCTTGCGCTGTTTGCTTTCCAGGGGTGTTGTATAAGGTAGTTCCAAAGAGCTGGTGCACCAAAACAAAGAGAATAGTGAACACACTAATTTTCTGCACAATTCCAACCACTTAAAATTCCAGACATCAATTACCTGGACTTTGCATCTGTTTGGTTTTCCTTCTTCATGTTGCCTACTTTCTTGTTTTTGGGTTTCATATGAAAAACATGATTGTCCTCTTTTTCTTTGTCAAGTGTGAACGTTCGGCCTTTCTTCTTCTCTGGTTCCTAAAGGACAAAAAGGGAAAATGAAAACGGAGCACGTACATGTTAACACTGATTCCACAAATGCTTGGTATGCAAGATCTGCTAACATCCTTACGATCCAGCGTAAGGTATTTAAAACAACACCCTTTTAATAGCACAATAATTGTAGGTACAGTGAATACAGCTTCTGATTAGGAGTCGAAAAGAGAAAACTTCAAACCAGAGGGGACAAAACACATTTAAATAAACAGAAGAGCAGAAGCAAAAAGCCTACCTCCTTGATGCTGGCCTCCATGTCTGGGTTCGACGTTTCTGTGGTGGTTGAAGAGCTGTCGTCGTTGTCTGCGAGGGAGTCTTTCAGCTCATCTTCCTGTGGCTTTACCTTTGTTCTCCTCTCTTTTTCCTCCCGTTTCTTTTGCATTTTGGGTTTACGCTGCACTTTCGCCTTCGCTACAAGAGTATAAACCACACCTGAGCATTAAGTCAAGGGACAGAAGGGTGCCAGGTGAGGAGATGGTCAGGGGAGCTGAGAGTTGGTCGGGCTAACTTACCTTTGTTCTGTGCAGCAGGACAAGAAGGCTGCTCCTGAAACACCTCTGTGGAAGGGGACTCGGGCCGCTCCAGGTCTTTGTCCATAGCCTCCACGAGACTTGTGTAATCTGAATCCTCAGAGCTGTGTCTGGCTGTGCTGCTTTCAGGCTGCGATTTCTGACAGCTGTTAGCCTGTGGCTGTTGAGGCACTGGTGGCTGTGGAGTCTGCTGTTCCAGAAGGCTCTGGGTCTGCTGTTGGTGAGCATGGTGGTGGTGCTTGCCAGTCCGCAGCCTCCTGTTGGTGATCTGACACTGGCCTGTGTTAGTGTCTGAACCCATACTGCTGCCTTTGCTGGCAGATTGGGCAGAGGGTGCTTGCATAGAGGTCCTGTTGTAATTGATCCTTCTTAGACCTTCAAAGTCCATTGGGTTTCGACTGTTGTTCATGTGTGACTGTGCACCACCTTGCCTGTGGTTTCCTGTGTTGGCTCTAGACGAAGGACCACCTGAGTACATTCCTCTTGTCAGGTTGTGGTTTGCATCTCCATATTCATTCAAGCTTTAAGAACGTGGTAAACAGAGAAGAAACTGAGAACAACTCTTCTGCACTGACAAGTGTCAGAATGAAATCTCCATTAAACTAAAGAAGATTATTCACGAGTTTTTTTTTTTTATATGACTGCAGTTGAAACCTCCTTGCCAGGAGAAGCATGAATTTCTTCTTCATTGCAACATTGTGACTTTATACATAATAACTGGATATTTTCAGTTGATTACATATTTGTTATGCCACATAAAATGTACTACAAGGCCAACAAACTACCTAATCATTTTATAATGACATGTCAAAAGCACAGCATAGCATTTTTCATTCACTTACTTTGTATCAGATGAAATCCCTACAATTTCCCTGAGATCAAATGGCCTCCCTGTCTCAACGGGAGTGTTAGATGCTTCAAAAGACAAACGTCTCTTGAATGGCTCCCATATTCCTTGAGCTTCCAAATATGCGGTTACAAGCACTAAAAGAAACATGGAACTGAAAACAAAACAAATTCACTTTTCGTTATGGTTTTCTTTGGAAATGCACAGCATGTAATTGCTTATTCCATTCCAAGACACAACAGCAACTGTTTGGAATGTATTTTAGCCACAAGAGAAGATAACTTCAAATCTTCAAAACACTGTGCTATTCAAATTTCTTTGAAATTATACTTCATAGATTTAGATAATCCAACAATTCTTGTCAGGTGCCGAGAATATAAAACATTTTATTCTTTCTTTACATACATCTCCTATCGCTAATCTTGACCAATTAATTAGCACATAAAAAAACCACTACAGAATGTTATTGTTTTTACAATGTAACTTTACATATAGTAGGATACCTTTACATATATGTAGAATAACTTCATATGTTTTTAATTCAAATAATACAAAGTAGAAATAGAAAAAAACCTTACCTCATGATCAAAGATATTATAATGTACAGTTCCAGCTCCCAGTTGGGCCTGGGTAGGGCTTCAGCACAAGTAGCTAGCATGTGATACGGAAGTGATGCGTTCAGTATAAAGACAAACTCGGAACCTCCTGCTGTCACAAGCTTTAATTCTCGGATAACTCGCGAAGCAGTGAAATCTGGTGTGAACCTGGAAAACAGACAAAAGTGGTGCTTGTATGACATTGATACAGAAACATCACCAGCTAGTTCACCCGACCTCATCACGTTTTCAAACTAAAATATATGTGAATACCATACACTTAACTGCTACTGCTATCGGTTAGGCTTCTTTGAGGAAGTAAAAATAAAATAGTGAGCACTTCATGGCCTTTTAGCACTAGAAGGCTTATCTGACTTATTGTAAAAACATGCTGCCCAACCACAAAACCACAACAAACTGATTCAAATGTTCTCACAGGGGTTGTGGTGCATTTTAAAAATAGACATTTATCACACAGTATGAAATAATTATCCTGGTGTCCGCTTTAGATATGGCTATTGTTTACATAGTAGGCATGAAAAGGTTAAACATGCATACAAGCTGAGGTAAACATGCAACAAGAAATATACATTTTGAAAGATCTATAATGAAAGGAAAAAAAGAGGAACATTTTTAAATATCATGACATTATATGAGCATAGTCGATGGCTATTTGCAGAAGTCAGAACACCACAGTGGAGGTAAAGCATGTTCAACTAAGATTGTTTCTGCACTACCTTAAAGCTCATCATACCCTTGAAAACTTCAGTCCTGACAAGTGCATAAACAACACTGAATAACTTAAATGAAAACTACAAAGCAGAAATAGTTAAACAAAGTAATTTATTGTTTAGATTCCACTTGCAACATTACTTACAGTATGACAATGTCTTTTGAGGCATTTGGTTTAAGTGCAAATTCCTGGCAGTTGACAACTTTAAATCCATAACCTTCACAAGGATATCCACTGATTTCTGCTGATCTGATGAAAATTGGAAGCTGTCCTGTGTTTTCAATTTTAAATGTTCTTTTGAGAGTAAAGTTTGGTTCTTTTGATTTCACTTCTAAAAAGAAACAAAATGGAAAATGTGAATTCCTCTAGAAGTTAAAGATAGCTATTGTTGAAAATATTACAACATTATGTGTTATATTATTATTCATGTTAAAAGGCTATAAAGATACACAGTGTATTTAAGCTTCACTCCTGAAATTTTACATTTAACATGCATAAGCCATTCTTTTGACAGAAATGAATGTTGCCAATGATAAATTCTGTAGAACAAAATTGCCAGATTTGAAAATCTTGCATAACAAAAACTCTGCTGCACTGTGCAAGTTTTAAAACACGATTTCTTTCAATGGAAACAAATTCCTGTTGTACCCACATTGATGCATTGATACTCACTTTCTGAGCAGTCTTTTAGCAAAGACTCCGTCATTTTAAATCTTAATGAACTTCCAGGGCCTGGAGCCTTGCCAGCAACCTTCAGGCTTTCAGTTGTTCCCTGACCCTGAACAACTAAAGAATCTATCACAGTCAGATTGTTCCTAAAAAGAGATAGAGATGGAACAACAATGGTCATTATATCATCGACACTTCTTCTAATCTACTTTGTGCGAGTTCCCATTTTTTTTTACAGATAATCGCACAAAAAGCATATATAAAAAAGCCATAACATGAAGGCCTTCGCATGAGTTTCTTTTTGTATCAGTGTTTCTGATATGAACATGAAGAATTTACCTTACAACAATCAGAGAAGAGACGGTGTGGTTGGTGACAGGAGTAAATTTCACCGTAAAGGACTTGGCTTCTCCAGGCAACAGCAGCAAATTGTAAACAAATGGTCTTGTAGGTCCTTCGACAAACCCTGTGCTCGTTTTAATGAAGGAAGTCTAAAAGTAAAAGACAAGTAAATAAACAGACTTAAAAACCAGCAAGAGAAAATCATGCTTAATACTGTATCTACACTGAAGCCTATCAGAAATAGTTTTCCAGCAGTTCTGGAGTATAGTATTCTGTGATCCTGCAGCCCTTGTAAATAGCTTGTTACTAAAGAGTACCTCTTCGGTCTCTGCAACAGGTTTACAAGTCCACAATGTTACCAATGTTCGCATTTACATACTGTTGCCATGGTTAAAAGAAAATATCAGATGGATTACTTCAGTTTCTTGGAGTTTAGTTCAAATTCAACTCAAAACTACAGCTTTTCTAGTAACAGAGAAATGCTGCACTTACTTGGTTTCTATGAGTCTGGAACTCAAACGTGTTGATTTCAAAGTCTGAGAGCTTTCCCAAATTAAGCCTTAAAGAAGAAGAAAAATAATTATATGGGCAGAGGGTCACAATGTACGTATTCAATTAATCAGTTTAGACCTTAAAAGTAAAGAGAATTGATGGCTATGGTTTCTTTTCAGTTTTATCAAACAATTATGGATTCTTTAACATCGTAACTTGAACAACACTTGACAAATAATTAAAAGTTAAAACCACAGTCTTATCTCACCTTTCTGTTATTTTTTCAGCAAAAACTGAAGGGTGGGGATACAAAGCTAAAGGTAGAATCTGGATGAAGACTGGAACATCTGCTGGGTTTTCTAAAACAACTTCCTCTTCCTGTGGAAAAGTATGCTTAAAAAATCCATAAATCATCATACACACAATATGGAGTTACAATTTAGTGTACATTGGGTTATGAACATTAAATGAAATTAGTAGCTCATGTTAAGTATGTCTCCATTCTAAACCACATGCCATAATGTTTTAAAAATAGGTTTACCCCTACAAATTACATCCCCCACCACAAAATAAAATAATCTCAGCGCACTAACGTTATCTTGCAATATGGCAATGTATAAGAGTAATAAAAAAAACAAGCAATCACAATGAAATATTAAACACCAAATACTGGAAGTAGCTTTGAACTTACAGATGAGCTGTTGGTGTTTGTAAGAGGGAAAATGATATGGCGTGCTGTTTTGATTATTGAGGGCCATATCATCTGTGCAGTTACTTTGACTTCAACATTTTTCTGAAGGTCAGTATCTACTTCAAAGATGGCGTCTACCCTGAGGAACGAAAAAAAAAACCCCAAATACATTTCATAAATCCGCTTAAGGTAGAAGTTAAAATTTCTGAAGCACTGTTAAAACATGCTTTGAATTAACATGGAAAAAGTGTTATGAGGCATATAAAAACACTTCCACTTACTCATGCCTCGAGTTTTCTTTCAGCTCTCGCCACCTTTTGTGAAACGTTTGATGCAAATCGACATCTGCATCCCACACATCTTCTTGCATTGCTAGCCCATGCAGTTTAGATTCAGCTGCAATAAGACAATAAGCTTGAAAATCCGTGTGGAGTTCACACAAGCACAAAAAAAAAAACAGGTAAGAAATGTCATCCACTAAAACTTACATTTAGATAAAAAAGGGAATCCAATGTAACAGTGATCTCCACACTGAAGACCAGCATCAAAATAAATATTTGCAATCTGTAAAAAAAAAAAAAGGCACACAAAGTGACTTCTTGGGCAAAACTTCTGATGTTTAAATTAAAAAAGCACATAATTCCTTGCATTTATATTACACTTTTGTGAAAAACTCCTTCACCAATTGAATTGAGGTAACCCAGGCGGGGATTTAGCCAGAGCACCAGGGCTACCACCCCTACATGAACAGTGCCACAGGATCTTTGGTGTCCAGGTAATAAGAGCCTTGGATTATCCTCTCATCTGAAGGGCAATATACCCAACAGTCCAGTTTTCTTTGTCACCATAGTGAAAGTGGGTTTGAAAAGTCTGGTCCAGAGGAAAGAGTGCCAAATATAGTCCAGAAACAACTGGTTTCCCTTGGCCTCCCATCCCAGTAGTGACCTGTCTTGCTTAGCCTCTAAGGTCAGACAAGAACAGGCTACAGGGTTGTAATGTCCTTACCAAATCAGAGAAAAAATCCTTTATCCATAATGTCTTGAAGGATCTTAAAATCTTTCATTCAGTATAAAGCCTACAAATACTACATACCTTAGATTTTCTTCTTGGCTCTAGCTCTTCCTTATTATTCTTGAATTTCTTGTAATAAAATCGCACATCCTCCGTAAGAGAACGTATGTGCTGCAGTTTTACCTTCTGTGAGAAGGAACTCATAATGTTAAAACTCTGGTGTACAACTTTGCCCTGTAAAAAATACAAGGAATGAGCTGTTAATTACTCTACAGTCAATACAAAAACTAATCTAAGTAAATTCAGATGGCAGTTTCTGACTGCAACACCCTTTCTTTGATAGTAACAACACATCATACAGCGGTAATTAGTAACTCCTGTACTCTGAAGTGTAAGTGGAGGATGTAAGAAATTTACAAAGAGATGTGCACTGAAATTCCCAAATAAAAATGTACACACCCGTTGCACAAAAAGTGCAGCCAACTATAAAACAAAATCTTACATTATTTAGTTTTTGTTGAAAAGAATAACATTTCAAAAGTAGAGAGATGTGCAACTGCGGTTAAGGAGGAATTAAATGGTTGCAAAAACTGCATACAAGCATTATGAAATATTAAATTTAGGCACTGCTCTTAAACGCTGTGATCTGATGTCTCTGAGCAACGTAAGCATGGTGAAGTATAAGTTACTACTAAATTAAATTGTTGCAACTTGATTTGGCTTCAGATGAAAGACTTCATTCAGAGGTTAAAATAAAAACACGGAAGCTCCTTTAAAATGAACTTCAAACGTATCAGAACAATAGGAGTAAAATCATAAACTAGACTACACAATAGATACAAGGCTTGTCTCCCACCGAACAGCAGATACTAAAATAGCCACAGGACTTTTCTTCAAGAGAAACAATAACACTGTGCAATGTAATGGCTCAAAGTGCTCTCACCGGAAAGGACGCTGGAAGAACAATGTGCTTTGGTGAGCTTGTTAACGTGCCAACGGCTATAACACCTTTTACTGGTATGGTTAGGATCTGTGAAGAACAAAAGTTAAGTTGAAAACAACGCACACTACAGAAACTTAACAAAAAAAGGAATACGCACTTATCTACTCGACATGCTTTCAGTAGGTCATTTAAAAAATTACCTCATAATCTGTTGCGATTTGTATAGCTCCATCGTACACTCCTTCCAATTCCTTAGCTACCAGTGTAACCCTGAATGCTGCATAGTAGCCTGAAGCTAGTATTACCTTTAAAAAGGGAAAATAAGAACAGTCTTACAAAATACTGTCGATACTGTTGAACCTTAAGTATAGAAAAATGTTAGTCCTGAATGTACACTGTCTAGCCTTGATATGTGATTGTTAAAACTCCAAAGCCTTATAACAGTGAGGGGTACCTCTAAATAAAGTGGTACCTGGTGGCAATCCACATACAGCATTTTAAAATTGTGTAACACATGGCATTATTTTACACATTTCTTTCTTTCTAATGCTAAAAGATTTAGCAGTTTGACAGGTGAAGAGTATAGACACTCAACTGTTAATGTTATTGATAGCAAAGAAAGACCATAAAAAATCAGTATAAAGAACATATGAGAATATAAAGATGGCAGTTTTTTTCCATAAATATTGTAAAAAAGCCTTCTTAATTCAGTGTCACCATTAATAAATCAATTTCTCAATTTAATAAAATATTAACAATTAACTATATAGGCACACTGGCAACACTATATATGCCCTAACATGCCATAACTTGAAAAGTACATAGGAAAAATGTATACTAAGAACTAAAAGATTTTAAAAATCTTAATTTTAAAACCAAATTCATATATTAGGATGAATGCTCTTTTTATACCTTATAAAATGTATAAGTCAGGTTCATTCACTGGTTTCCAAGAAGCATATTCTAGGTTGAGCTTTTGTGAATGGCTATATTAAAACTGCCGAGTAATCTGAATTACAGATCAAATGTTGCTATTACCTCAATGAACCATATTTTTTTTTAAATACTGCTATGGATCTAAATTCAAGTAGTTCTTTTCTGTAATAAGAAGGCTTCCTCCTGTGAAACTGCTCATCTGAAATGCCCAAGAAAACAATTCTAATTTACATGCCTAATTTTTCTACAAATTGGGGGGGGGACCTACTCATGACCACATAAAAAATGTATTTCCTAGCACAATCCTGAGTGACTTCCAAAACAGCACTTCATAAAGGATGCTTTAAACAGGTATCTCTAAAGTGAACTTACAGTTGTCTGATCTGATGCTGTACCGTTTTGCAGCTCACCAATTCTCGACAGGATGGCCGTCTTGTTCCCCTTATCCGACTTCAACAGCTCTATAGACAGGCTGTCTCCTATGACTTGCCATGACTTTATTGCCAGCTAAAACAAAGAAACCAGAAATCCAATTAGCAAAAAAGAAAGTGTGTGATGCACATTTCAAACAAAAGCTGAAAAACAGCATTCATTTACCTCGATAGGGTTGCTATTGATGACAGCAAATACAATGCTGCTGAATTCTGTGGCACTGAGCACGCTGAAGTCCAAGTAGTGTTCCTCCTGGCTTGGTGGCAAAACAAGTGGCTGTGTGAGGAAACAAATATTAGAAGAGCACATCTTCCGCAATATAGTTTTAAAGATTAGAATTTAAGCAAACTCAAAACGGTGATGTTTTAATGTTTCCCACTTTAGGGCTTATGATCTCTAAACCAGTTAAGTATTTTTTTTTCTCAGTCAAGTCAAAGGTCAGTATCTACTTCAAAGATTATGTCAAAGGGGAGAAGCACAGAAGTCTCCAGTGCTTACCTCCAAAAACCCTGTGTAAGCCCTCACGGGCAAATGAAACTTCGAGGCATTGGTGACGAGCAGAATGTTGCTGTCTATGTGAATCGACGGTCTGGCAGGTGTGAAGTGCAGTGAAAATATGTATCGGGAATCGTGAGGTGGAATCGAGATTGGTTCGCTGAAGTTCTGCACCTGTGGCAAAAGAAAAATGAGATGTTTTGATTAAATTCTTTCCTGAGAATCAGAAATGAGAGCTCCAGGTTAAACATGGTAATTCCACTATCACAGCTGGGGGGGGGGGTCTTAATGCCTTTTTGGACAAATTAGTCACTGACTTGGATGATTTTTCATTTCACGCAGAATCTCCATCTAAATCAATTCCACGTATAGTCTTTTAGTCAGCACCACAAATATCCTAACATGGCAAAACATCCTCTTCTCAAGTGAATAGCTTTAATCATGAAATAAATGTAGTCAGCCAGTTACTATTTATAGCGTACAGGCTGACCACATTCAACTTCTTCCCAAGGTCAGAGCCAGCTGGAAATTATATGAATGACATTTTATTGGAACTGCTGTTTCAATTTTAGCAGAGTTTTTTTAGAGTTAATAATGAGAGAGTTCTGAACTTATTGCCCTGTATTGTGCGTCTGTGCAACTGGTGAAAATGTTAATCAAAAGCAGCTTTGTTGTTGATCAGAGTCGACAACAAAAAGAAAAACAAGAATTCCTCTCTGTGCGTGCCAGGTGAAACTGTTCTTTGATTTCTACCCAAAGAGTAATGATTTGGCTTTATGAGTACAAACACTGGCCCTTTCTTCAGTCTAAAAGGTTATGCACTTCAATAAGTGCCAAAAGCAAGCAATTCTTTCCTGCAGCTATGATGCCTACATTTGAAAACTATGCGCTGATCTCACAAATACTTACAAAGCAAAAAAATTCAATCATACATGCAACATAAATCTCAATATTCTTAATGGTTAGTTCCGAACTATAATAGTAATATATCACCAAATGGAATATAACTGCAACCAAGGATATAACAACTTCTGTTCTATTAGTCTGAAGTTTCTTTACAGGGCAGTTCATTATAGTAAGAGCTTTCGGAGTGTTAATACTGATTCAACCTTTTTTCATATCATCACTTACACTGAACATGGTTTTTGCCTCGTCAGGTAATGAGACATTATGAACTCGAATGGCAAAGCTGAAGGTATTTGTTAGATAGATGGGCCTTTCCACAGGATCTGTGGGACTATCTCTGATATGGAACAGAGTAGCTGTGTGGTCGAACCCCAGGTACCTAGCAAGAGAAATATGGTAAAACAAACAAGAAATACACAGACTCCTTTAAATTAAACCTGTTGGAAAAAAGAAACTCAATGTCAATAGATCAGATGAGGTTACTAAACTAATCTTTGAGTACACTTGCAGAATATTCTTCTTTTCAGAACAAAGGCAGTTTTTGAAGAAACTCAAAATTGCAAACAAATGCTCTGGGGTTGTTAATAATGAAAGTTAACTTCCAACTACCTCTCTGGCATATTTCAAATTTTATTTCTGAGAAAGACTTTTCACAGTTGACAAAAACAACATGGAGAAAACGATGTGCTCAAAACTATCTCACACAAAGCTTAAATCTTCATAAATTAAAGTTTAATTTTTTCCTTACAAAAAACATCTTGCCCACATAAATTAAAATGCACCTAAAGTAACTGCAAAAATAAATCGTCATGTTATGCTTTTTTCCCTGACACTGGAATAAGTTTACAATATACGGTGGCCAGATCTTTTTTGCTACTCATTTTTACGACTTACCCTTCTAAAACCTCCGCCTGGTAAGGAATTTCAAGCTTGGAGTAGCTTTTCTCTTTTGCTTTTACAGTTATTTTTCCAGAAAACTGGGATGGTCTTTTTGCTTTTGAAGCTGGGTGGGGTGAAAAAAAAAATGTACACATTGACTTTCCACACACAAGAACAAAAAATGATATTAGCTTCAAATTCTGCTTCAAATCCTGCAACTCAAAATTTAAATGAAGCATTAATTTCAGCTGCAAAATGGACTAAGGCATCAGACCACATTTCAAATTTGATGGTTAATTTCCATCCCTTGGTCTAGTCAGACTCAGCCAATGTAGTAGTATGATGCAACACCCAGCACAGTATTTCTGTCACCTTGGAAGAGTGCAGTGACACAGCACATTAGAGGCAATCATTGTACTTGCATTTACACAGGCACCCACAACATTGCCATTCATTTGTAATAATAAAATTCTACAGAGAACTAATACAATTGTTCTCATTTTCTCTACAGTTCCCAACACGGTTAAAACACTGGTCATCTTGAAGCTTAATTTACTAACGGGGATGAAGCTGGACAATCATGAAACTCTTTACAAGGTGGAGTTTAATGGAGATTTCACATCATGGAAAAAAATAAACGTCACATTCTGGTTAACAAGAACAAAGTACATGACGACATTTCACAATCATAAAATATCAATAATAACTTACCATCAAAACTAATACTTGCAACTTTGGTATATTTGCTCTCTCCAGCCTTTAATGTGACTGGCTTAAAATCTATCAAAACAGCTTCATTTGATGGTGTTGGTCTAACACTCTGCAAAACCAAAGAATTAAAAAATTTAGTCAATTTTGTCCAAACCAAACTAGATCAAGACAAAAAAAACAAGTACAACTGAATTATGGAGTAACTTACTGTTATTGGTACATCTTTTGTTCCTGAATTTAGAAGATGTAGATTTAACTGTTTTGGTAGATCTGTAAGAAACAATTTATATTAAAAAATCCAGGCAAATCTTAAAGTGCTTAGTACTGATAAAGGAAAAGAAACTGCAGAAAAAAACAAACTTTACAGTTCCCATTGAAACACACAACTTAAACGGATACAAAATATTTGGAATTTCCATCTTGTCTCTCTCATTTTGGTGAGGACTTTGAACTGAAGTCTTCGATATATCATAATTAATACTACATGATATCAAGAGTTATAGATTTTGCAAGATGCTCCTAACTTTACAATAGACACCCTACCTTGCGATCGTAATGTGCCAAAGTCTAACATTTCTATTGACGAATATATACCAGGTTCTGCAAGAAAGAAAAACATTTATGCAGAAATATTTTTTGCTGTGCAGTCAAGAAACCTAAAGGGCTTTGGCAATATGAAGAACTCTCAGAAACATACCTGCGGTCACCTCAACCTCCACTGGGAGTATAATGAACTCATTATCGTTGGAGGCATTTGTTTTTATCCTGATGAAGGCAGTGTGATTATCAGCGTCTCGTGATGAAAAGCTAGCTCTCATCACTCCTTTTGTTTCAAAAGGTGGTATTTCCTTCATTGAACCAAACAAAAATATACAGAATCACACAGATGTAGGCTTTTGATTATTTTGATAATCACACGGGGCATCTGCATACTGCAAACAAGACTTTGATTCAATGGTATAAGGCAGGGACATGAAAAAATCTGGTTCCATTAGTTCAGACTTGTTCCACATTGATCGCCCTCTAATAATAAAAGACTGAACAAGGAACTAGAACTAGAAATGAACTGAATGGCCTTCTCTTTTAAGATGTACACTGGTGCTGTCGAAACAGTGTCACTTCCTTACTTTAGGAAACTGCAGACAAAGCCAGTAAATACCAACAAAGGCCACATCTGCAGTTTAATCGCCATAAACAAAACACTAGTGCAAGAACTGGATACTGGTATTTCAGTCAAAACTGTGGTGTAAAGCTAATTAAACAGACTAAAAGCTATGAAATGACCAGATACACACCCACAATTTCCTGGTGCCACCTTGCTGTCCTGTAGGCAGCTCCAGATGAAGGTCACCACCACTTGAGTACATTTCTACCACCTGTGGAAGAGTAATAAAAACCCCAAATCAGACCAGTGTCAGGAAGACTTTGACAGCTAAAGGCATTTTCTTAGAGATAAACAGAAGGATAATTATACACGGCCACCACCATACACATATGATATTTCAAGTGGGTTGCTGTGTCAGCATGCGTAGGCTGCAAAGGAATGGGTAAAGGTTTATTCCATGCTGAAAAGAGAAGAGACAACATTTTGGCTGTGGAGCCATCTTCAGGTGTCACTCCTGGAATAAACCTTCACCAGTCCATACGATAATTCTATGGTTATAGAGTCTCGGCATTAAATCAAATTGTATTTTTATTTTTCCATATTTTACATGGTGTGAAGACAGACCACGGGTAAAACATTTTGGTACTTTTAGATTTCAGAACTGGTATATTATTCATTTAAAAATGTAATTTTACATTGTGGGGATGTCCCCATACAGTCCTATGGAAGTTACAATTTTTGTATGGGCATTGTTCCAATTTTGTCCTTGCATAGTAGGACAGTGATACACAAACAGGACAGCAAGATAATGAATTCTAACTTATTTTGATTACGCACTTTACTAGGTTGTAAACAAATTCATTGCAGTGCTACAGAGTCATTATAAATGCCCCAGACTCCCGACCAGCACTGCCCTATCTTTTACATGCAGGCAAGGGACACTGCAGTTCAGGCTCAAAGCACTGGCCCTACGCCTTAACATAAGGAAACTTCAAAATACTGACGCAGAGTTAGTGTGGAAATCTAAATTACCTATAGGCTGCCAGGGATTTGAAACTATAGCAGCATATTTTAAAGCTATGTGGCAGATACGACAAGAAGAATGATACAGTAAATCTTAAAATTTAAACTAAGAAAATGGTCAATTTTACATTTTAGCCCCTATTACATTAAAAATTCCCTTAATATAACAGGGACAGGTTACCTGCAGTGGTTCGCTGTGTGGGTTGTGTATATTTATTAACGGTGAAAAGCTGCTATTTACAGGAACCCTTGCCCCAATGAATGGACGCAGTCTGTAAGGGTTAGGTATGCCAACACCAAACACCTGAGAGACAAAACCAATAGGTTACAAATCTTTCAGAAATGAATATTAAATGACACTATATTTACCTTTATCACATAAACACATTCAGTTCATTGTGGTTGAGGAAAAAAGTAAACAACAAAATCCATACATACAATATATAGGCTTGACATGATTGCTTAAGTGTTAAAACACAATGTATAAGCTGTTCTATAATTATCCTTGCAGGAATTTAAGGTCACATTTTCCATTCCAAGGAGTCAGAGAACAAACATCTCAGCACGTACCTGGTATGTAAACATTCCGTGATGTGATGTATTAATAAATAAGGTATTTTCTACATTCCCAACTACTCGTGCAAGAAACACGACGTCGAAAGATGTGTTTCCACCTGGAGGAATTATCTACAACAGAAGGCAACATGGTGGTTTGAAACAGTTGAAATACCGAGGAAAAAAATCAGGTTAAAAAGGGAGCACAGAAACCGTGCTGACAGACTGGAAAAGAGAACAACTCTACAATTGAGGCTTGAATTTCCTCATTATTTAAGCTCCAGTAAAGGAAAGGTAATGGCACTTATGCAGAGCATACATATACATTTGTTTTGAAGGTGTAACTCCCTATCCCATAATAATTCAGTATTTTAGTCTGGGTTGCAGAACAGCATTTTGAACAAAACTGATACACTGTATACAGTATATACTAAGGAAAACCAGCAGCTGCCATGACTTAGATTAGAGCCCCCCACTCCTGGTTCTGGGGAACCCACACTCCTGCTGTTTTCACTGAAGCAAGGTCTTTACTTAAATTAATCCACAACTGAACCGAAAGGTCGCTTCATTAGAACCTTTGCAAGTTTTTGTACTCAAAGGTTGGTGATTTTAAGTTCAAGAACTGCCACAGCTTAAAGGGTAGCCTCCTACACGTAGAGGAACTAAAAACAAAGATTTGACATGAAAGTTATTATTAGGCATTCAATAATTTAACGGAGAGCTCACGTGGACCAAAATCCAACGTGTGAGAGTCCCTTGGACCAGGAGTGGAAACATAAATCAACAAGATAAATCATATCAAACTCTTTCTCTACGAACAGAGAAGGTTTCTTATTTTGTAAATTACCTCTGATACTGTTTCATACAATTATCTATTATTTCATCTCAATACAACTATTGTTATGTAATCTATTCCTTCTCAAAAATTCTAAACACATTTCAATACACATGTTTTCAAAAAAATAAGGCATTGCCTGACAGTTGTTGTAAAAGTACAAATTGAAGGACAGGAACAAAATACACAGGAGGAAATAACTGTTCAAGTCATATGCTGCAAGAGATGTTTAAATTGGGAAGCATGTGTATTGCCTTTTCAAACTGCTGTGACAGTGGCACAGCATCAACTTGCCTCTTCAGAAAGGCCTTCATTTTTACAAAAATGCTAATTCTTTAAGAAAACCACTGCATTGATGGATGTTACACTAGAACGTGCATGTAACCAGATCCTCAACAATAAATAGTCTTATACTAAACTTAACCTTTCCTGGAAAAAAAAAAACAGAACTAGGAATGCTGGTAATAGTAAAAAAAAACAACTGCAACCTAGAAAAGTGTTTTTCTGATTCATTAAGCCCCCCCAAGATGTTTACAAAAACTTAAAAGCTAAGAGCTGACCATAGTTGTAGGTCATATAATTCTCTCAGGACTTCAACACAGGCCCAAATGATAGGGTTGTCAAAGACAGGTGCATCCTAGCGCAATTCGTAATGTTAAGTACATTCTCCGCTAGCACATGGGCATCAAATGCATTGTTCAGTGAACTTACTTACTTTAGTACCTAAAGAATGTCATTTATATTTAGATATTAAAGTATCATAAAGGATACTAGTGTTCTAATGCTAACGGCCATCTTCAATGCTAAATGGATAATACAGCAAAAACTCCCACAAAACGTGCAGGACACTGCTTCAAAAATAAACGAGACAAAGCAAGTCTTTAGAGAAAAATTAGCTTTGCTAATGAAAGTGCAGTTTAGTGAAATCAGCTTTGCTAATTTCTCTAAACTACAAAAAATGTGGCCAAACTACACTTTTTAAAATGCTTTTTTTAAGTTTTGGCTCATGACTTGTGCAACTAGTTTAACAGAACAGTCAAACAAGAAATAAAGAAACTCACCCTATTTTGAAAAAAAGATGCATGGAAGTGGGATGTTGTTGCTGATATTGATACTAAAATGATAGTTTCTTCTGAACTAGGATTGTGTAAGTAAACTTTTTCCATTTTGGGCATCCCAACTGGCCTGCAAAAGGGGAAAAAAAAAACAATTAAATTAATTGAATGAAGCCAAGTTAGCTTAATAAAACATATACTGAAATTTAGTTAAACAAGAACTAACAACAAATGGAAGAATTACTATTTTCAAAGTGCATTAGATTAAAAATGTACTACTGTACTACTGCAATGACTTCCTCATGGAAATATGTTTAAAATATGGGGTGCTAGGTTTTATCATCAGACAAGGCAACAAGCAGAGATGAGAGAGAATATCTGATTTTTAAACAAGATCAGTCCATCACTGTTCTTCAAAACTCTACAAAACCAATGAATTGCCTAATGACAAACTTAGCGGAACGCCAAAGTCTCATTTTCCACACCTAAGAAAAGTGTGCACTGACGGACACTATTTATAACGTTCACATTAAATGCAGGAACTGTTGGTTGCATGGAATAAACTAAATGCAGCAGCATACTGAGTAATTCTCCACAATGTTCAAAAGATCTCAGGATATAGTACAGTAAAGACAAGTTAGAAAAGAAAAACTATATCCAAGACAGCTCTCTTATACCATTTGTACATATCGGATGTAAAGTCAGGATAATGTATAAGAAAACACTGAATATACCTGGTGATGTAGTCAAACAGCATGGGGGTGCAGTGGTTAGCACAGCTGTTTCAATGCTGGGGGCTTGGATTCAATTCCCGGGGTGCTACTGTATGTTCTCCCCGAGTTTGCATGGGTTACCTTTGGGTGCTTCAGTTTCACAAATACCCCAGAGCCACTTGTCCCAGAAACCAAATTAACCAACCGATATGTCTTTGGACTGTGAGTCATAAATACAAACATAATCGTAACTACCGATGACATAAGTCATCATAAATACTGGGTTTGGGAGCACAGATAACATTTCAATCACAAAGAATGAGAATTACTGGTTTTCTAAGGTATACTTTAGGGATGAGTGGTACACAATCACAATACTTACAGACTATGTAAAACTATGAGACTGAATCAGTTTGATTTAGATTTATTTGTAACATTACTGAAACTCATCATATGATGTAAAACATAAAAAAGCACATGACATGAAGCATTTTTACTGACTTTTTCTTTGTGGTAGGAAGTATATTGCAAAATATTATATCAGAAACTTGGGTGAACATGCCATAAGGTACAGTTTGTTTAGTACTTCACCAAGTCTGGGACACTGGCAGTAAACTATGAAGGGGTTATAAAGAGGGCATTATACGGTATATTTTATATGAAGGAACAAATCAAGTCCAAATGAAAGAAGTATTATATGAGGGTAGTGTTATAAATTAAATAAAATG